AGTGCAATGACCCCGGAGATGAAGACCTAGCAAGGGGCTCTAGATTAACAATCCGGTAGGAGCGACAGCAGAAAGGACGGGAATTTGCTGTGCCTTTGGGGCTCGCTGGATCCGGCCCCCGCAGCACACTCCGCTGGAGAGATGAGGTAGGTGTACTGCTTGCCACCAACTCTGAACGCCGAGGGGCTGGAATGGGATGGTGGTTGGGTCTCTTGTTTTGGCTGAAGTCAACCGGGGGAAACTCTTGGAGGAAAGTGACAGTTCTACAGTGGATAAGTGAATGTATAGGATATATGGCTTCCCCATATAGGCTATATAGACAGACATAGATATATGATCAGGTTTCTTCCTCTCCCAATGAAGAGGGGTTCCCCCAGTCTCCTCTCCTGTCTATAAGGTAATTCAATGTATGTCTGTGTCCCTCAGAATTTAGCATGACAGCTGACTCCTTTCTTGGGTGTTGTTTAGGATGGGGGTGATGGGGTGGTGCCCCCCATCCCAGTGTTTCAGACCACATCCTATTTCCTTGCGGCTGCCTTTATCTTATAATAGGTGTACCGATATATCCTGGTTCATAGCTAAACATCTTTAAATCCGATGCTATTTGCAATGTGATTTTACATTTATCTTAAAGGAAGCTCCCTTGAGCCTCTCTGTGGATCTTACCTTTCCCCATCACACACACACCTCTGCTTTAGTGGGATCACTGCCTGGTGGTTTACAGAAATGCCCCCCTCCCAATCCCAGCTCATGAATCCAGAAAGGAAAAGGAAATTATCCTGTGAGCACACTTAACTACTTGAAGGCCCTCCTGGATGACTTTTTTTTTAAAAAAAAATCCGTCTTTGTGCAAGTAGGAAGCCATTTAATGTCCCCACTGACATTTCACAGATGAAAACTGGAACATTCTTGGGTACTGCTTGTAACAGGCCTCTGCTTTCCCCAGGCGTCATTGCCCGAGGTACTGTACATTCTTCCACTGCCCACTGTTGCTTGCTGCCCATTAACCTGACCATAGCAGTTGACTTAAAATAATAATTAAGCTTGCTGTCCTATGCACGCTTACACACAAGTAAATTCCACCAAGCCTACTGAGACTTAGTTGCCAATAAATACAGATGGAATTGCTCTGTGAGAGTGTTTTGGTAGGATATTTGGGTTGGATTCACACACACACACTTAGTTCTTGTAGGGAGTAAACCCCATTGAACTTAAGGGGAGATAGGCTGTGATCCATTACCCACTTGCCTTAAACTAAGCATCACTGAATACAGTGGGACTTGCTTCTGAGTAAACATGCCCAGGACTGTGCTGCTGTTTCCAACTAAATACGCCTACAGGGTTTTGCTAGAGAATTCTCGTATTTGTCGGAGAGTAGGTGTTACGCACAACACAGCCAGTATTTGCTACCCAGGTGCAGGCAGTGAAGGGGCAAATGGTCGTGGGGATTTTTGCATCCACACATGTGTGTGATTGGTGCACAAATTTTTTACTCACTAGGTATATACTCCTCTTTACCTCCAAGGGGTTTCGTGCCCTCCTCCTGTTTTATCTTCATGGCAGAACTCTCAGAAAGGTAAAGCTAAGAGAAGGTCCGAGTGGGGATTCCAGCTGGTGTTTTTGTGACCCTGGTCTGACACTCTCACCACCCCACTGCTGGCATTCAGATACCTCCCATCTGATGTAATAAAACAATAGGTGCAGGAGATATTTGAAACCCGAAGAATTCTAGCGTGTGCATCTTTGTGCCCGCTAACAGAATAGAGCAGCTTTCAAAATGGCAAAAAAATAGGGGAAGGGTTTTGTCAGGAACAGGGATTGGCAATGTCCCTGAAAAATGGGCTAGTTGGGTGCATGGGATATAGCAAGTGGCTTGCATTTTGTCAGGTCAAAGAGAGCAGGCAGGAGTTGGGGAGGACCTGAAATGCTGTCAGGAGTGGGAAGGAACTATTTCTGCTTTCTGCCTGCATTTTCCTAGGCCAGCCTTTCCCAGTCTAGTCCCCTCCAGCCCTGGCTGGGCTGATAGAGTTGGTAGTCCAAAACCTTGGGTGGGCACCGGCTTGGAAACTCATCTTGGTTGTTTCTGCAGCACCTGATTCCCTTGTGAACACCTTGATTCTTTCCCTGATCAGGCCCACCGTCTCTTGTTAGGCATTGTCTTTCCAAAACTGCCTGGAAGCAGCTGGATGAATTTCCAACCAGCTTTTGCAAGCCATTCCCAATCCCTGCTGCATAGATGACAATTTGGAGGGAGGGATCCAGAGTGGGGTGGGTCTTGGAATCTTGTATCATTTCCGGGAAGTGAGACCAAAGGCATCTGTCAATTTCGGTTCCTCACTGTTCCTCATTTTTTCAGGCTTTACTTTGGTTCTCCACATTTCCACACCAGCTTGCAATTGTTAATATTATTCTTATTTAAAAAGCCATTCTGGAAATTCATCAGCATTTTAGTGCCAAGTTCTTCCAGTGTATGGTTGTCTCAAAAGTTGAGCTGTGCAACTCATTCTGTTGGTGCAAGGATTTCCACTTTCCCAAAGGAGCTTTCTCTCCTCCTTTTCCCCACCATGCTCCCCCTAAATCTGCTCTAAAGGTCCCCCCCAACTCTCTGGAGCAGATGGGGGGGTGCTGATGGAGACAGGTAAGGGGGAAATCCCACTGCACGAGTGGAAGTCTGCTTTATCACTGACACTTTAGTTGGATACCACTCAACTGTTTTGGTATGCAATTTTGCCTAATATACACATGTCTGCAACACAATTTTCCCAGTATAATGCATTTTTACACCATTTTCACTAATATGTGCATTTTTATGCAAGCCCTAAATGCATTTTTATACGCAAAGCTTGGCTAGAAAACTGCATTGCAAAATTCATTGAAGTGCAGATTTTGATGAATTTTGGTTCATGAATTGTTGCTCATTCTCACAGTGAATATCAGAGGAAGTGAGAGAGCAGCAGAGACCTGTTGCCTTCAAACTCTCCTTGCTGGGTTCCTAGAGGCCTATGGTAGTATGTAGGAGGCTGGGCTAGATGGACCTGTGTTCTCATCCAGCTTCAGGTCTCTTCTGATAGGCACCATATTGTGTGTGATGCAGACCAGCCTTCTGCAACCTCATGCCCTCCAGATGTTTTGGACTTCAGCGCCTATCATCCCTGACCATGATTGCTGTGCTGGCTGATAGGAGTTATAGGCCAATATATATGGAGGGCACTGAATTGGGGAAGGCTGGTTTAGACCAAGGGTGAACAAACAGTGGCCTAACTGAGGTCATCTGCTGGGCCTCCCAAGACTCACTCTTGAGAATCAAATTCTGAACCAGGCTGTCCTCTGTTTAGATCTAGCCACTGCCATTTGCCAAGTAGCCCTAAATAAGTCACTTGTTTGTGGCCTCAATTGGGCACCTATGTTATGGTCGTAACAGCATTGATGCAATAGGGGTGCCATCTGCCAAGAGATAGTCTCTGGACCTTCCAAAGTGCTGTGTAGAATAAAATACTATAACTACCGCCATTGCATTCCTTCAAAAGATGCAACTTCATGGAGGCAAAAAGGAAACAGTTTGGCTCCTTGGGAAGATAGGGTGGCGATCTTTATTTATACCCCCATGGTTCTTCTCCTTCTCATTTAATCCCCAGAACCTGTGAGGTAGGTAGGACCAGTCACTATCTCTCAGCCTAAGGTCACCCAGTGAGCTTCATTGCCGAACCTTGGCCTCCCAGGTCCCAGCCCAGCCTGGTACTATTACTACACTGCTTCTTCTGACTACTTGGGGCAAGGAGGGGGAAGAACTTGGAATCTGCCTGCCAGAATGACACCATCATTCTGAAGTGCAGGCGCTCCTCATAACAACCTCCATAGGCACGATCCTTCTAAGACTGTACAACAAAAAATGGTTTGGTTTGATTTTGAAAGCTGATTTATCAGCGTAGGTATTATGGCACAAATAGAGCCCTCCAGATGTTGCCCAGCCTCAACTGCCACCACCCCCAGCCAACATGGCCACAGTGATCAGGAATGATGATGGGAGAGTCTCACAGTATCTGAAGGGCCTCAAGGTTCCCATCCTTGGATTATGACTTCAAAACCAATTCAGCTTTTAAAAAACCCATATCCCTGCTCCCCTCCTGCTCTGCTCAGTGTCCAGCCTGATGAAGAGTTCTGGTGGACCTAGAAACTTACTTGCTGTTTTGTGACATTTTGGTTCGTCATAATCATGGTTTCCCAAACTTGGGTCTCCAGTTAGGTTTGGACTACTGTTCCCATCACCCCTGACCACTGGTCCTGCTAGCTAGGCATCATGGGAGTCCAAAAACAGCTGGAGACCCAAGTTTGGGAAACCCTGGTCATAATAAACGGATTTTCAAAAGAGAAAAATGCCAGGTTTTAGGGGAAGAGACACTGATCAGTTGTAGGGCATCTGCTGTGCACACAGAAGGTCCCAGGTTCAATGCCTGGCATATCCAGGTTGGACTGGTAGTACCCTCTGGCAGTGTGGACACAACTGAACTAGGTGGACCAATAGTCTCACCTCTGTATAAGGCAGCTTCTTACGTTACCACAGCATGCAAGACTAAGGGAAACCACCTTTCTCCCTCCGCTTAGGTTTTGATGGGTTTCTCTCTGAGAAACCTCATTCACCTGGTCTGCAGAAGGTTGGCAAATATCCCCCCAGGTGACAGGGGCACCACCCTCATCCCTCTTGCTCCACACTGCAGCACGGGATACAAGCACTGCTTGTGTTGCCAATCAGGGTTTCTCCCCGCGGTGTTGCCTGCCAGCTCTCTCACCGCTGAAGGATTTCCAGGAACTTGGCATTTCATAATATGTGCGCCAGCGAGGATTACAGCAAGAACGCCTAGGAACACCACAAATCCGATTGGTGCAGAGTAGCTGGGTTTCCCTTCTCCCTCCTCCTCCTCCTCCTCCTCCTCCTCCTCCTGGGTTTGAAACATAACCCCGACTCAATATGTTCATAAGGAGGAGGTGGTGGGTCAATTGGCAATCTTTGCCAGGTGTGTTCACCTTTCTTCTTTTGGAGGGGCTATGCATGCACGAGCAGCCTAGGCACATGGTATATTTTGTGAGTGGTAAGAGGGGGGAATCCTTACTCCATCGACTTCTGTCTGGACCAAGGAGGATTTCCTTGTGAGCCGCCGAGATCTGCAAAAGGCAGACGGGGTAAGCTAAGTCAGACATACACAGCCTGTGTGCACAGATAGGCTTTTATCAGTGGTAGCCGGTGATCAGTTGAACTGATGGGGCAGAAGGCAGGGAGACCAGCTGTCTTTGGGGCCTGGGCTAATGACTGGCAAAGCCACCCCTTGACCGGTTGCCAGTGTGTTTAGAGTGCTGGACTAGGACCTGGGAGACTGGAGTTCAAATCCCCACTTAGCCACAAGGCTCACATTGGGGGACTTTAGATCAATCACTGTCTGCCTCAGCCTAAGCTACCTCATATGCTATTTAACACTTTCATGAAACCACTGGGAGAAGTTGTCCGGAGTTTTGAGGTTTCCAGTATGCTGACGACACCCAGATTTATTTCTCCTTTCCACCTGAATCCAAGGAAGGTGTCTCTGTCTGTCAGTGTCTGTGCCTCCTCCACAAGAGGTCCAGAGGGTGGCAACATGAGAACGGGCCTTTTCTGCCGCAGTTCCCCATTTGTGGAGTGCTCTCCCCAGGGAGTTTTGTCTGGCACCTTCGTTATACAATGGTACCTCAGGTTACATACGCTTCAGGTTACAGACTCCGCTAACCCAGAAATAGTACCTCAGGTTAAGAACTTTGCTTCAGGATGAGAACAGAAATCGTGCTCTGGTGGTGCGGGAGCAGCAGGAGGCTCCATTAGCTAAAGTGGTGCTTCAGGTTAAGAACAGTTTCGTGTTAAGAACAGGCCTCCGGAACGAATTAAGTACTTAACCAGAGGTACCACTGTACATCTTTAGGCGCCAGGCGAAAATGTTCCTTTTCAACCAGGCTTTGGCTAACATCCTATACCCTTTTAAATGTGTTTATGGGAGAGCATGGGGAGTATTGTTTTGCTTTTTTTAACGATTTATTTTGTGGTTTTATGCTGTGTTTTTATTTTGAGATCTCTGGGTGAAGGGTAGTATAATAATCATCATCAGCATCATCATTATCCAGGCAGACAAAACAAGACAACGCAGGGATGCCCTTGGTCAGATGGAGGAAGGGACAGCGGTGGTGCTGTGGGTTAGACCACTGTGCCGCTTGGGCTTGCCGATCAAAAGGTCGGTGGTTCGAATCCCCGCAACGGGATGAGCTCCCGTTGCTCGGTCCCAGCTCCTGCCAACCTAGCAGTTCGAAAGCACACAGTGCAAGTAGATAAATAGGTACCGCTCGGGTGGGAAGGTAAACGGCATTTCCATGCACTGCTCTGGTTTCGCCAGAAGCGGCTTAGTCATGCTGGCCACATGACCTGGAAAAACTGTCTGCGGAAGTGGACGAACGCTGGCTCCCTCGGCCTGTAAAGCAAGATAAGCGCCGCAACCCCAGAGTCAATCACGACTGGACTTAATTGTCAGGGGTCCCTTTACCTTTACCTTTAGAGCAGGGAAGAGGGATTGAGTCTGTGCTGGATGGGTTAAGACTCCTGAAGACACAGGTTCACAGTTTAGGCATGCGACTCCTTTGCTGCAACAGCTCCACTGGCTGTTTCCCAGCACAATTCAAAGTGCAGGTTATGACCACTTTAAAAAAATTCTTTATTTGGTTTTTCAAATTAAATTTTTACAGAGATATATCAAACATAAATCATTAAAACACGATTCCAAGGAATCTCCTGGACTTCCATCCTCCCCTTTGTGGGTCCTGTTATTAATCACTTCCTTCTACATCTTTTATGATGATCCAAATCTTTTACATTTCCATTGTGTCCAGAATTCACCCTTAAACTACAAGTGATATTCCAATCCTGCTAACGATTTTAACTGTTTACAATGGTCTTTAAGATAAGTTATACATTTTTCCCATTCCTTATTAAGATTTTGGTTTTCCTGTTTTCTTACTCTTCCGGTCATTTTAGCCATTTCAGCCTACTCCATCAAGTTCATCTGCCATTCTTCTCTGATAGGAACTTTATCTTCTTTCCATCTCTGGGCCAGTAATATCTGTGCAGCCGTGGTTGCATATTACCTCTAAAGCCCTACATGGCTTAGGCCCAAGCTATCTGAAAGACCACCTGCCTGGGCTTTGAGATTTTTAGGGAAGGTCTGTCTCTTAATTTTGCCATGCTTGCAGGCTCACAGGTGAGGGCCTTCTCAGTGGCTGCTCCCAGACTCTGGAATGGTCTCCCTGGAGAATCTAGACAGGCTCCCTCTTTGTTGTCCTTCTGCTGGCAGGTGAAGACTTTCTTGTTCCAACAGGCTTTGGGGGGATTGACTGATTTATTGAAAAGACTGGGGGACATGCTGATTTCATTGCAATCATTTGTATGCTTTTATACAGATGTTATATATATATAGTTTGAATTCTATGTTTTATTTTAGTGGTTCCCATTTTTATCTGCAAGCCACCTTGAGTCCTGCTAGGGATATAACACTGTAGCAGTAGTAGTAATAATAATAATAATAGGAATAAAACAGGGAGAATTATGTAAGCCACATTGAGCTCCTTGGATGAAAGGTGGAATATAAGTGTAATAATAATCATAATAAAGTAAGAAGGCAGGCAGGTGGGGGCTCGCTGAGGCAGACAGAGGTTGGTGGCAAAGTGCTCCATTTTCCTTAATGGACCACCCTCTGCTAGTTTTAATCCTTATGGGGCCATGGAACCTGTGTGTATGCGTAGAGATTTTCATTAGGAAAATGGCAGTGGGGCAAAAAGGTGCTTGAGAATCCCCCCTCTGTCTCCACAGACATACTTGGTAAAATATAAGACATTGTAGTTTCAATCAAGGCGCCCTTTGCCTTGTCTGGTTGGACTGTCAGACTTACCTTTGGTTTCTTACCTTTTTACACATGCTTGCCTTAAAATCCACACCTCAGTATGATCATCGATGTCACTTGGCATTTTCTGTCCCTTCAAGGGCTTTGTCAAGGAGTGCATGAATGGGCTTGCTCCATTTGGCCCTCCCACTAACCCTGCAGGGTAGGGTAGGCTGACAGGGAAGGGCATGCCTGATGCCACCCAATGTTTTTGGTGTCTGTCCCGATTCCATGATGCCACCCACCCTCACTCCAATAGGCACCTTCAGAGTCTAAACTTGACATTAATGTGTTTGCACTTAACATGCATATTTCTTTTCTTTTCTTTTTCTAAATGCAAATAGTATTAGCTGGCTGTGCATATGCGTGTGATAATTCTTGGCGTCATAACTGCCGTGAAGAATATATGTCATTCTTTCCTGCCCTGCCATAGTTCTGATGAAAATCTCTCTTCTGAAATTGACATTTGCTTTGGGAGGTGCAAAGAGGAAAATCCCCCTCCCTCCTGCAGAGAACATCTTCAGAAGAAGGATTTTGCTCAGGACAGTAGCAGGGGAGGAAAGGGTTACATCTCCCCTCCCCAGCTGCTATCATCCTGATTCTTCTTAGAGCTGTGCCCCTGCATGTTTAATTCCAAGAACACATTTAGTTCGTTCTCAGGATGCATATACAGAAAGATGCCAGAACCGAGATCCTTGCTGGTGGAGAGAACCTATATATACCTGTATCTTGGTCCCAAGGTGTGTAGGACTCTATAAACCAAAACCAGCACCTTGGACTTAGCCCAGTAGCTAATTGGCAGTCACGTTGGGGTCCAACATCTGGAGATCTACAGATGTTTCCCAGCCGCTGCTCTAAATGTATTGCCTTTCTCCTCTGCTTCTGACTTCTTCCTTGAGAAGGACTCAACATTCCTAAGGTCCTGTTGTTTGAGTGTTCCAAACTGATGTTCCAACTGATGTCAGGGCGCGGAGGAGAGAACCAATACAAATAGCTGTGATGCCACACTCTTAGGCCTGTGTTCATATGAACATAGGCAGCTGCCTTATGCTGACTGAGACAGGCAACTGGTCCATTGGAGTCCAACACCCTTTTAGGTGGAGACATGGGGGATCTACCCGGAAGACTTCCTTGGTTCTTCAGTTGAGCGATTCCCCCATCCAATTCCCCAGACCATTCCAATTCTCCAGTTTCACAACTGAGCCACTGAACCACTGTGTTCATATCCCTTTCTCAGCTGCCGTGTCTCCAGATGTCTTTTCTCATACACCTGATCAGGAAGGATCAGAAAGGTGGCTTGGACAGGTGTGCCTGCGGGTACTCTGAACCTCTGGCATGTATTTTGAGCATCTAGGATGAGATGTATTAGAAGTAGAGCATCGCAGGAGCTTTAGTACTGCAGTCACAAGGCACTTGTAAAGGGTAGGAAATATGTGGCCAACTCCCCCCAGGATAGCCAGTTCATCGGGGATGATGGGAGTTGTAGTACAGCAAGATATGGAGAGCTGCAGGTTCCCCATATTTGCTCTAAGGAATCCGTCATGGTTGCTAGCCAGTCATTCCTTTGATTGGGAAATTGCTTGCTTAATGGCCCACAGTGGGTGGCTGATGTTTTCTCAGCAGAAGCTAGTAGTTGGAAGAGGTCACCTCTTGCAAGAATTAGCCACCAGAGCTTTGAGAAGGTGACCTGCTAAGGGGACGGACTGATGTAAAGTATGAAGGGCAAATAAAATGTGCATTTTGTGGGACAAGAGAAACAGGTGAGAGTGAGATGAGGACTTTGGTGATGTTGGGGAGTGGATCTCTTGCCTGGCAGCAGTGCTTATGCTGTTTTGGATCGTACCCTCATCTAGTCCAGGCTCATCTAGTATAGCATCCAATTCTCATGAAGGATCAATGTGTATATTGTCCCTTAATTTGAACTAGTTGGCTTTCTGTCGCAGTTTTCCACTCTTGCACAATGCGAACACTTGCAGAATCGTAGGGTTTAAAAATTTCCCAGCAAGAAAATTCTCACCCGAAAAGGGGGGGGGGAGTGAAGCACAGGACCAGCATGCTGAAGAAATTGTGCAAATATGTACGTGAAAGTGTGCATCTATTTGCATGAATGCTGGATGAAACCAGTTCCCTGACTAAGTGTTGTGAAATGCTGCCAGGGTCACGGGGCAGAAGGTTCTCAGGCTTCGCCCATCCAACCTCCTCCTCCTCCTCCTCCCACCTGGCACCTGCTCAGACTGCTTTGAACCTGGAGGGAAGGGCTAAGAGATGCTTGCTGCCTCTTCAGCCTGGGCAATGCTATTATGTCACATAATTGGCTTAGCCATCTGCTATTACACTGTCAGCCCCCACACCCTAACCAAACATGGATGTGCAACTGGACTTGGCTGTAAACCCATTATTTTGACACACCAGGGACTGAGACGGGAGATCCCTCACCAGAGCGGTCAAACCCAACCTCTAACCTGCCACCACTTGCCATCTGGCATGGGTGGCGGGGTGTGATGGGGAGGGGGAAGGCAAATCACAGCAAATGACCAGCTAAAGGAAAGGCTGTTTTTCTCGCTAGACTTTAGACTGCTTAGCTTTCGTCCTCTTTTGCCCCAGCTAGTTCCAGCTGGGAGCATTACGGTTGCCCTGTGGGGGTCTGTGCAAATACAGGCATCCTCTTTCCACAGAGAGGCATGCAGATTACTTCTGTGGATTATATATGTTGTGGGTAGCAAGAGCTCTTCTAATGGATCATTCTTAGCACCCTCACCAAATGTTCTTGGGAGAGAAGATAAAAAACACTAATGCCCATCTGCAGTATAGATTCCCTGGTGGGTCCCCCCCTTTTTTTTCTTTTGCGCTTTTGGCAATGCTATGGGTTCAAGCATTTCTTGCAGAGCAGTCAATAGGAATGGGGGAGAAATTTGGTTTTGTGCATGTTTAACGAGAAACTATCAAGTTTGCACTTCTTGAATTGAAAGAAAGCAAACCTTTGCATTTTGCAATGCAATTTTCCACCCAAACATTAGGCTGTATCAGCTAAGTTCTACTAAGAGTAGATCCATTGAGATCTGAGTTAGATGCATCCATTAACTTTAATGGGTTTACTCTGAATAGAATGAGTATTGGACACAAGGCAGTATGTACAAAAAAATGCATATATTAGAGCAAGTGACATACAAAAAATGCATTGCCTTAGGGGGAAATTGCTTGCAAATAGGTGTATATTAGTCACCATTGCATGCTAGGGTGTGTTCATTAGGAGAAATTCACACTAAAATGCTGATGAATTTTCATGGGGATTTTAAAGGGATCTCAAATTGCTGCAGAAATGTGGAGAACCTAATTTAAGATTGGAAAAATGAAATCGACATATCATCCATCCCTCTTGCCAGCCTGAGTGGCAGATCCCTGGTTTTGAAGGTCACTTCAAACAAAGATCTTGCATCTCTTTCTTTCTTAGCCTGCACTTTTTCAAATCTTCATGGATGTCTTCTGAAAACCGAGATGCAAATGGCAGCCTTTGCTGCTTCTAGCTCATTTGGACTCAAAATGCACTCTAAAGCGCTTGCTTTGTACTTCTTAATATTTGAAGGGTCCATGTAATTTCTAAACCTTGGAATGAGGAACTGTGACTGGTCCCATCTGCTGTCACATGAACCCATGGAGAAAAGCGACCATAGCTGTTTCAGACATGGCTGGACACACCCAGTGTACACAAGTAATTTTGGATTGTGCCATTAACATGCATATCCCCCAAATTCCAGCCTTGTGTTCCTAGAATTCCTGGTTTTCCCTGTCCACTCACCATCAGTAGACACTATGGAATACATTTGTCCTCATTTATCAGGGTCTATGGGGACGCGGGTGGCGCTGTGGGTTAAACCACAGAGCCTAGGACTTGCCAATCAGAAGGTCGGCGGTTCGAATCCCTGCGACGGGGTGAGCTCCCGTTGCTCGGTCCCTGCTCCTGCCAACCTAGCAGTTCGAAAGCACATCAAAGTGCAAGTAGATAAATAGGCACCACTCCGGCGGGAAGGTAAACAGCGTTTCTGTGTGCTGCTCTGGCTTGCCAGAAGCTGCTTAGTCATGCTGGCCACATGACCCGGAAGCTCCCTCGGCCAATAAAGCGAGATAACCCCAGAGTCGGCCACGACTGAACCTAATGGTCAAGGGTCCCCCCCCCCATCAGGGCCTATTACTGGGAGCTGGAGTGCATCAACAATTGGAGGGCACCACGTTGGTTACCCCTGCCATATATAATCATCATCATTACCATTGCCCTTAGGATGGAATTCAATGTTGTGCTAAGTGGGGCATGTGCACACAAAATAAGGTACACTCATGCAATGAGAGAAGACTGTGTGGTGATAGGATGGCCATCTTCAAATACCCAAAGGGCTGTCATGTAGAGGATAGAGTAAGCTTGTTTTCTGCTGCTCCAGAGGATTCAAATTGAAATAAAGGCAATTCTGAGTAAACATTAGGAATAACTTTCTGACGGTAAAAGCTGTTTGACAGTGGAATGGATTTCCTCAGAATCAGGTGGAATCTCCTTCACTGGAGGTTTTTAAACAGCGTTTGGATGGTCATCTGTCAGGGATTCTTTCTTTTTTTTAATCAAAATTTTTTTATTGGTTTTCCACAAATTTTTGAACATACCAACAAACAAACAAACAAACATAAATCATAACCTTATTAAGACTAATCGTATTAACATTGTTAAGTGACTTCCTCGTATCCCCGGTTTTCCAAAACCTATATTCTCATAAACTTAACTTAATCACTTAACATCTTTCTTACTTTCCTAATCTAAATTTCAACATATTGATTTATCACATTACATATTTAAATCCTAAGCCTATCTGGTATTTGCAAGCTTTTCCAATTAGTATCTGTCAGGGATTCTATAGCTGCAATTCCTGCATTGGGCGTATGATCCTTAGTGTCCCTTCCAACACCACAGTGCTGTTATTCCTCCCTCTCCTCCCTGTGTGTGCCCCCTAAACCTGTTCTGGGTTTCCCCTCAATCCCCCAGTTCAAATTTAGAAGGTGCAGGATGAGAAGGGGAAATTGTAGCATGAGTGGACCTTGTTGCACACATGAAACAACTTAGCTGATTCCTACCTTTAGCATGTATGCTGTACAGTGGTACCTCGGGTTAAGAACTTAATTCGTTCTGGAGGTCCGTTCTTAACCTGAAACTGTTCTTAACCTGAAGCACCACTTTAGCTAATGGGGCCTCCCGCTGCCGCCATGCCACCGCTGCACGATTTCTGTTCTCATCCTGAAGCAAAGTTCTTAACCCGAGGCACTATTTCTGGGTTAGCGGAGTCTGTAACCTGAAGCGAACCTGAAGCGTCTGTAACCCAAGGTACCACTGTATATCACTTTTAGAATAGCATAAGCTGAGCACTGGTGAGGCATGTGATGCAGCTGTTTTAAAGGCTACTGCAATCTTAGGCTGTCCTAACACAGTTATAGTGTCCGGCTGGGCTGGGTGATATCTGCTTTTCAATATTGCGATACATCACCAGCTAAACATCACAATATACTGATATCTCACGATGTCTGAAATATGTTGAGGCATTGACTGGCTTTACGGTTTTTCCCATTTTGTGATTTTTGCATAGTGCACACACACACACGATTCATGATATATTACCAGGTCAAAACTTATGAAACCGATGTCACGATCTGGATTTCAAACCGGTTTTGGATGATATATCAATCAGCCCTAGTGTCCAGATGACAGGAAGCATAAGGAAGTTCTGCTCTATTCTGCACTGCTCAGGCCAATGTGGGCACCAGTTTTCAGAAAGGACCCTGACAAACTGGATCATGTATGGAGAATGCTGAAAGGTCTGGAAACCAAGTCCTGTAAGGGGTGGTTGAGAGAGCTGGGTGTGTTTAGCCTGGAAAAGAGGCGATTGAGAGGAGATATGATAGCCATCTTCAAATATCTTAAGGGCTGTCACATGGAGGAGGGAGCATGCTTGTTTTCTCCAGCTCTGGAGGATAGGACCTGAGCCAATGGCAGGGCATTGAACCTTGGGGTCCCTTCTATCTCTACAATTCTATGAAATGCATATATGTTTAATAATTGACCCATACAGCCAGTGTCAGATTCTTATATATCCAATTTTAGCTGATTTGAAGCAGACCCATTTTATAGTTTAAAACACTTGCAGATTTATCATTTTGTTCTTTTTGATGTGTGTGCCTTGATTATATCTTAATGAAAAACTATAAAAATAAAGTTTCAAACTGTTTCCATAGAAACTTGAAGGTTTCCTGGTAGCTTGTCAGAGGTTTTCCATAATTGCAGAGAAGATTCCCAGAAGGATGGGTGGCCTGCCCCAGGCTGCTTTAAGATGTGCTGATCTCCTAAATTACATCAAGCTTAAAAGGCCCTAGAGCAGGCATAGGCAAACTCGGCCTTCCAGATGTTTTGGAACTACAGCTCCCATCATCTCTAGCTAACAGGACTAGTGGTCAGAGGTGAAGGGAATTGTAGCCTCAAAACATCTGGAGGGCCGAGTTTGCCTATGCCTGCCCTAGAGCATTGCCAAAATAAAAATGAAAGGTGTCTTATTCTAAAAGAAGCAACAAACTTTTCTATTTGCATGTATGCCAGTACATAGGCAAGGATGCAACTAAAAGCTAACCATCAAACTAAAACTTGTACAGTGGTACCTCAGGTTACATACGCTTCAGGTTACATACTCTTCAGGTTACAGACTCCGCTAACCCAGAAATAGTACCTCGGGTACTATTTGCTTCAGGATGAGAACAGAAATTGTGCTCCAGTGGCGCAGCGGCAGAGGGAGGCCCCATTAGCTAAAGTGGTGCTTCAGGTTAAGAACAGTTTCAGGTTAAGAACGGACCTCCGGAATAAATTAAGTACGTAACCAGAAGTACCACTGTATCTTGCAATACGCCTATAGTCGTACCTTGGTTTTCAAACGTCTTGGGAGTCGACCGTTTTGGTTCCTGAACGATCGAATACTAGAAGTGATTATTCCGGTTTTTGAATGTCCGACGTGACTTCCGCGGCTTCGGATTGGCTGCAGGAACTTCCTGCAGCCAATTGGAAGCCGCACCTTGGTTCCTGAATGTTTTGGAAGTTGAACGGACTTCCGGAATGGATTCCATTCAACTTCCAAGGTACGTCTGTATTTGCACATGAAATACCTTTAAATTTAGTAACTTGTTTGCATTTAGAGGCCCAGCATAATCTGAGGTTCCAAATTGTAGTTTATTTAGCTTGTGCATAAATCCAGCATCGGGAGAACCCCAGTTGCTCTGCCCTTGATTGCAAGAGGGTGTTAGTTGTACTGTGGTATGTGCTCAGAGGCTGCAAAGCCAATGGCAAGGCATAAAGTTGGAGTGGGAACCTTTCCTATCTGAAACCTTGGAGATCTGCTGCCACTCAGGGCAAAGGCAATGCTAAGCAAGATATACCATTGGCCTAACTCAGCACAAGGAAGCTTCCCATGCTTTTAATGAAGGCTTCTCTCCCAATGCAGTTAGAAGCAGTGGCAGCAGGATTTTCATCAGGATTACAGTGTGGAGTAGCCCTCTCTTTCCCCAAGGTCCTGCTGCAATCCTGCTACCTCCATCTGTGAAACATGGGAGGCTTTAATAATCCAAACGTAACAATCTGGGATTACGAAACCTCGGAGCATTGAGGTATGGGTGGGTGAATCTGTGACTCTCCGTTTCTCAAATTCATTCTAACATCAATTTGTGGGTGGGTGTTTTTTTAATCCTCTTGAAAATTCATCAGCCTTTTAGTGCAAATTTCTCCTAATATGCACGTTTTTGTAAAGTAATTTCCCCTAATATTTTCCCTCATAAATACCCTTTTGGGCACACTTTAGTGCACACAATATTGTATGCATCGAAAATTCAGAGAAGCATAGATTTCAAAAGATGGCTGTGTTGTTGTTCGCAAATTGTTTTGGAAAGTGTGAATTAAGGAAATTCACTTTTTAATGCAAACTGAATCTAATTCCCCCCTCCCCTATCTTTAAGAAATTGTCTGTTTGGATAGGCAAGATGTTTTGGGGACTGATATATCTCTTGCTTTGAGGACAGAGGCCTCTGGTGCCAGCTCACAAACAGGGCAGCCCAGCTAACCTTTTGAAATGACCTTTGCCAGACTCTAATAGGATCTGGTGCTTAAGAGGACCTCAGCCTAAATCAGGTGTATTCTGAGCAAAGGCGGGTAAAAATGGAAAGCTTGCATATTTCTCCTGCGGATTCGCTTGGGAGGAGCCCCTTCCTGACCCAGGAAGCCAGTTCAACTCTCGTAATCATGTTGTAACTGGGAATCTCCTCTGTGCAGCTTACATAATACTCTGAAGAATGAGGTTTTGAATGGGTCTGGGTATGGAAGGTTGTCCGAGAGAATCTCGTGAGAGCTAATAATAATAATATAATTTCTTATTTATACCCCACCCATCCGGCTAGGTTTCCCCAGACACTCTGGGCGGCTCCCAACAGATTAAAACATCAAATATTAAAAACTTCCCTAAACAGGGCTGCCTTTGGATATCATCTAAAAGTCAGACAGTTGTTCCTTGACATCTGATGGGAGGGCGTTCCACAGGGCAGGCACCACCACTGAGAAGGCCCTCTGCCCGGTTCCCTTTAACCTCACTTCTTGCAGTGAGGGAACTGCCAGAAGACCCTCGGAGCTGGACCTCAGTGTCTGGGCAGAACAGTGGGGGTGGAGACGCTCCTTCAGGTATATTGGGTCGAGGCCATTTAGAACCTGAAGGGATACAAGACACAGGTGGATAGATTGTCCCTCACAGGTATGGTAAAAGGTAAAGGACCCCTGGATGGTTAAGTCCAGTCAAAGGCAACTGTGGGGTTGTGGCACTCATCTCACTTTCAGACCAAGGGAGCTGGCATATGTCAACAGACAGCTTTCTGAGTCATCTGGCTAGCATAACTAAACTGCTTCTGGTGCAACAGGACAGCGTGATGGAAGCCAGAGAGCACGGAAACACTGTTTACCTTCCTGCTGCAGTGGTACCTATTTGTCTACTTGCACTGGTGTGCTTTCGAACTGCTGAGTTGGCAGGAGCTGGGACAGAGCTCACCGCTGTCACACAGATTTGAACTGCCGACATTCTGATCGGTGGGCCCAAGAGACTTAGTGGTTTAGACCACAGCGCCACCCAGAGGAATGAACATAGGGAGCTGCTTTCTACTGAGTCAGACCATGGGTCCACCACCTAGCTCAGTACTGTCCAGTATCAGTGGCTGTCCAGGGATTCAGATGGGGGACATGCCCAATGCTGCCTGCTGATGCTGACAATTGAACGTTGTGCCTTTTGCATGCAAAAGCCGTGCTCTTCCACTGAGCTGTAACCCCTCCCCTATAGGAGGGAGTAGGAGAGCTGAAAAGAATGTCAATATATTCACATCTGGCAACCAATGCGCCCCTTTGGTTTCAAATAGTACATGGGCAGATCGAGTCTAAAAAGCCCAGGACACAGATTTTCATGGCCCTCTTTTAAATTTTATTTATTGATATTTATTCAAAGATATACAGAATTACATACCCATTACAAAGTATATTTTTTATAATATACTAAAACAGCTACTTCATCTAAAATTGGAAATTTCTTAGGGACTTTTGGTGCGGAAGAGAAAATGAGCTTGTAATATCTGGATTTGACGATCGAAAAAATACTGGTTTATAGAAGGTAGAATGGTTGGACCTTAAAGAATACCATATGTAGCTGCAGAGAGCAGGAAGTTCTTTCATTTTACTCTTTCTTGTTTTGGTTTTCTTTCTTTCCCCTTTCTCTTGTTTTCTCCTCTAGATTTCTCCTTTTATTTTCTTCCTTCTGACTTTGCTCTCTCTCTCTCTCTTTTCCTATGGAAGGATCCTTCACCGGAGGAAGCGTAAGGCCGTGGGTTAGGCCCCCACCTTGGCCTGAAACAAATGATGGTTTTACCCCTGGCTAGCAGCAGCATGGAGTTGCAGCCAGACAATGGGCTCTGTGTCCGCAACAACACTGGCGACTGGAGGCTGAAGTCTGAAGAGTCGCGAAGCCGCAGAAACTCCATCCCCCCAGCGAAGGCTCCAATTGCCAAGCACATGTTGGCTTACCTGCCTCGGCCCCCCACAGAAACAAGCCAATATGGGACCTTTCCTCAGAAGGTACGTGGCTGGGGGACCTAGAGTTCCCTTGCTGGTTGAAACACTCTGGGGAATCGGACCTCTCCGACGGGAGCAGAGGGTCTCCTCACAACTCTCCCTTAACAAACTACATTTTCCAGATTTCCTCAGGGGGAAGCCTGATTGTGTATATACAAGGACGTGGGCATCAATTGACGATGGGGTGGAAGGTTCGCACGCTATGAAGGACTTGCTCACAAATTTATTGACAGCTGCACGAATTATGATAGCTAGGAAGTGGAAGGGGCAAGCAGAATATAAAATGGAAGAATGATACAAAGAGGGGTGGGATATAGCTATTAATGATAAATGAACATGTGTCATTAAGGGTAGACGGGGAATATGCAGGAGAAATGATTCTGAGGAGATATGGAGGGTGTTTGTAGAATTTGTACTGTTAAAACGGAAAGGGGTCAAACGACTGCAAGAGGTGTTGAAATTTTGGAAGGCTGGATAGTTACAATGGAGCGGTCTCGGTGGTGGGGTACACATTTTTATTCTTATTTATTTATGATTATTACTTTGTCAAAAATAAAAAATTTTAAGGGTGTGGGCATGTGAGCCCTGGAGGGTTGGCTGGGGACGGGAGAATATAGGCCTCTTACTTTAAAAGGTGGGCCACCCCTAATTTCAACAATAAATGCTTGACTTGACTACTGCTTCCTTCTCTTAAGTTTGAGTGAATTGTCTTACCTTGAACAAAACTTGGATAGAGCAATTCCATCTGAACATCAGAGATGTGCTGTCTCTGATGCCTTTTTGGCACCTACTGAAGATCTTCCTCTTCCAACAAGCCTTTTCAGATATTTTCCCCAGTCTGAATCTGTACAGGAATTGTTTTTAAGATGCTTTATCTCATGTTGTTTGCCATCCTGGGATACAAATTTAATAAATGAATAAATAAATAAATGGTGGGACAGATCCAGTTGCCCTGGTGACCAGTCGACAATCTCTATTTTTTTTTTAAGAATAATTTTTTATTAACCGACCAATCACATCAAATCAAACCAAATTACATAAATTCCGAATTACACAGCCGAATTTTAAATTTTTGTTGGGGGTACCCATATTTCAAGTTCCGAAGGGATCCAATCAACTTCTTGCTTCTTACTGCTGTTTTAATGTCCACAAATCTAACCTTATGATGTTCACAGTACTATCCAGTCCTTTCTTATTATTTTTCCACATCTCTTGTTGTTATTTTCATATATTTTTCCTTTCTCATTGTGACCTCTGATAGTCTCCGCAAGCTGGTTAGAACAGTTTGTAATCCGACAATTTCTAGAAGGGATTTCAGAATGTTTGCAGGGCGGGAATTCACTGAAATTCAGTTCCATCACCTCTCTGGTAGGTGCCATTGCCATTATAAGAGAACAAGGGAGGCGTTCATGGTGAGTTCCAGCACCTCTTTTTCTAGAAAAGTAGCAGTATGAGAAATACATCCTTGCCAAACAAAATACTGTTAGGGGGAGGGCTGAAGCTCAGTGGTAGAACATGACCTTTAAAGCCCTAAACGGCCTCGGTCCAGTATACCTGAAGGAGCGTCTCCACCCCCATCATTCAGCCCAGACACTGAGGTCCAGCACCAAGGGCCTTCTGGCGGTTCCCTCCCTGCAAGAAGCAAGGTTACAGGGAACCAGGCAGAGGGCCTTCTCAGTAGTGGTGCCCTCCCTGTAGAACGCCCTCCCACCAGATGTCAAAGAGAACAACAACTACCAGACTTTTAGAAGACATCTGAAGGCAGCCCTGTTTAGGGAACTTTTAATGTTTGATGTATTACAGTATTTTTTTTTTTTTTTTTTTGCAAGCCGCCCAGAGTGGCTGGGGAAGCCCAGCCAGATGGGCGGGGTATAAATAATAAATTATTATTATTATTATTATTATTATTATTATTATTATTATTATGTGCTTTGCCAGCAGAGCATCCCAAGTTTGATCTTCAGGTAGGACTGGGAATGTCCTCTGCCTGAAACCCTAGAATGCCACTGGCAGCCATTGTTCGCAATGCTGAGCTAGATGGACCAAGAGACAAACGTATTATAAGACAGCTTCCAAGTTTCTATCCTTATCTTGTGGAGGGTTTTTTTGTCCTTCAGCTTGCAATATGGGGTTGTGCTTCAGTGAAGAGCTTCCATGATCTAGCCTTAACTAACGACTCACTATTTTGGAAGACAGAGATGGAGAGCTTACTAAGTTTGTTTTCTTTTCCAGCCTGAAATGATAGCTGTTTCGATGGGTCCTTCAGACAGGAGCCCCCAGCAAACGGAAACTGCAGCCACCAAGAAAAGTGCCCTGACATGCAACTACGTGTCGGTACCCTGCAGCTCAAACATCCCCAATGACAGGACAGTCCTTCTCCAGCGGAGGCTCAGCACCGCAGAGCAGGTTGTGCCTATCAAGCATCGTCCCAGAGTCTCAATCGATACAGATGAATTGCCCAGATACCACCGGTCCTCCAGGACTGACCCGCCGCCACCTTCTCTGTTGCGGGACCTCAATGCCCGGCTTTATCCCCAGCACGCTTTCAGTGCGCCCAACATCATCAACTCGTCGCGGAACAAAACCCCAACCCGTAGCATCATTTCCGTGCCCTCCTCGGACAAAGGGCAGAGCCGGCGCTGTAAACTCATAGATGATGACCGGCAGTTTGGCTGGGGGAACAAGCAGCAGCGGCAGCGCTACGTCACCAAGGTGGGCAAGTGCCAGGTGAACCTGGGCAACATTCAGGAAAAGAAGAGGTTCCTCTCAGACATCTTTACCACCATTGTGGATCTCAAGTACCGCTGGTTCCTCTTTGTCTTCAGCATGTGCTACATCATCACCTGGGTGGTCTTTGGCATCATCTATTACTTTGATGCCTGGGTCCGAGATGATGTCAACCACATAGGTGACCCCGAGTGGAAGGCTTGCATCGAGAACATTGATAACTTCATCTCTGCCTTACTGTTCTCTGTAGAAAGTCAGCGGACAATTGGCTACGGATCTCGGATTGTGACGGCCAATTGCTCAGAGGGGGTCATCTTGCTAATGGCCCAATCCATCATTGGTTCTATGATTGATGCCCTCATGGTGGGCTGCATGTTTGTCAAGATCTCCAGACCCAAGAAGCGTGCCCAGACCTTAATATTCAGCAAGAAGTGTGTCATCTCCCACCGGGATGAGAAGCTCTGCCTCATGTTCCGCATCGGAGATCTCCGGGACAGTCACATGGTAGATGCAAAAATAAGAGCCAAGCTAATCAAGTCCAGGCAAACAAAGGAGGGGGAGTTCATCCCACTGGAGCAGTCAGAACTGAACCTGGGCTATGATACGGGGGAGGACCGACTGTTCCTGGTGGAGCCACAGATAATTTGTCATGTCATCAATGAGGTCAGCCCCTTCTGGGAGATGTCTGCGGACACACTGAAGAAGGAACAGTTTGAAATCATCATCATCCTTGAAGGCATTGTGGAAGCCACAGGTGGGTGCACTGTAGAGTAGAACATCAAAGAAGGGGACACATTCTGGAGACCTGTTTGGGTGACCCTACAAACTCAACACGAGTGAGCTTTGGAGAAATGATCCACTTTTCACTCCGCAATGCAGTTCTGGCTGCTGGCCCTACCTCACCTCTTCTTTCTTTTCTTCTTCTTTTTTATAAAAAAATATTTTTATTGATTTTCCAAATTGTTACAGATCAAACCAAATTGCTGTAATACAATTTCTTAAAATCAAGTTCCCCGCTCTGGTTGCAATCATATGACCAAGATTTTCCCCCCATAGCTGCTTCATTTCTTATTTAGTCTCCAGTTGACATCCTTCACTTACCATCAAACCATTCTTCCAGCTGTCTGCTTTTTCACCTTACCAAACAGCACCTCAGTTTCATCTTGTAAATATATACAGTGGTACCTCGGGTTACATACGCTTCAGGTTACAGACTCTGTTAACCCAGAAATAGTACCTCAGGTTAAGAACTTTGCTTCAGGATGGGAACAGAAATCGTGCTCCGGCGGCACAGCAGCAGCAGGAGGCCCCATTAGCTGAATGAAGTGGTGCTTCAGGTTAAGAACAGTTTCAGGTTAAGAACGAACCTCTGGAACGAATTAAGTACTTAACCCGAGGTACCACTGTAATCAATTTCAAGTGTGTAGCCCTTCACGTACAATTGTATTCCAGACCTGGAGTGTTGAAAGAGTTCAGTTTCTTTCTCTCATTGTTCAATCCTTTGCAGTGTTTATCTGAGTGGCACAAAGTCACATTCCATATCATTCCACCGTTATCAAGCTGACAAGTGAACTGCAGCCATAGATATCTCACAGAGTGAATTTTCCAGACATCCACCATTAAATTCCCCTCTGGAGTTCTTTCTCGGCACACAATACACAGCAACGTCACACAGAACTGTTTAACCCTGTAAGTTCTGATTCTCCTCAAATGTCTTTCCTACCTCATTTCAGCATTTATCCAGCTGCGAATCATTTTTCTCTTTTTCCCCACTGCATTCCTCCAATGACACCCTTGTCCAACGGTATCATAATTAAAGTCCTTTCAACTTCGGTCAAGGGGGGGCATAGCAAAACTTTATTAAATTCCTTGTAGAACATAAATCAAAAGCCTCCCTCCCTCTTTTTTGAAGTGTCAAACAAAGTAGCAACTACACACGTCTCTTCATTGTAGCAGAGGACAAAGAAAAGAAAGACCATTAAAAAAACCATAAGAAAGCACAAAACTCCTTTTGCCCCCACCCTTTCCTTCCACACTGTTGTAAGGATTCTCAAGCTTAAGGAAACATTCAAATACCTTCAGAAAACCAGTCCCGGTTCTTTCGGTGGCTGATTGATTGCAGCATATTAGCATATGATGCTTCGAGAGCACCTCTTGATTAACGCCAATTATCCAGATTGAGGAGGAACCTTCCACAAATCATGCCCGTAACGATGGCTTATCCATGGCAAGGGGCACACTCTCAGATCGGTCCCATTCTGCCTTTCAAGTTGGCAGACACAGGATTGTGTTACACTGCGGGATGCAATGAACTCCCCACTGAGGGGCATTGAGTGGGTTTATGCCAGGGGTCAGCAAACCTTTTCAGCAGGGGGCTGGTCCACTGTCCCTCAGAGCTTGTGGGGTGCCGGACTATATTTTTTTGGGGGGGGAGGGGGAATATGAACGAATTCCTATGCCCCACAAATAACCCAGAGATGCATTTTAAATCAAAGGACACATTCTACTCATGTACTGGAGTTTCTGCCGCCCATGTCTCTTGAAGGACAATGATGTTAAAGTTTTGGCTATGGAATGGAATATCTGTAGACTGAGACCGGAGCCGCACGTGGCTCTTTTACACCTTTGCCGCGGCTCCGGGGCAGATACTAGCGAGGGGAGGAGGCGCATTGTGCGCCCCGACACTCCCCACTGTGGCGGGCACTGTACTGGCTGTGACGTCGCATGGGGGCGGTGCGTGCGTTAGTCACGCACCGTCCCGACGTCACCTTCCCACCCGCCCGCCCGCTACATTGTAAGGGGCATGTACGCTGGTCACTGCATTGAAAGGGGGCATGTACACTGGTCACTGTTTTGAAGGGGAGTGAAGAACACACACGAAAAGGTAACTTGTTAATTTAACGTTTATTTCTATGAGGAGGAGTAATTCTGAAGGGTCAAACAAAGAAATAATAAAAAAGTGACAAAAAAGTTATTTTTATAATGACGAGTTTTGCGGCTCCCAGTTTTTTTTTCTTTGGAAATGGGTCCAAGTGGCTCTTTTTGTCTTAAAGGTTGCAGACCCCTGATCTAGACCAACCGGCCACATTCCATAAAAGGATATTTAGGGCATTGGTTGATTCTTGGATTTTGGGCACCCTTGGAGATTTTCAGCCATTGATTCTTTAGGGCGGTGGAGTCTGGCGTATTTGTAGGGAGGTGGGGTAGGATAGAAAAAACTTTTGTAGTAGGGACTGATTTGGTGTGTTTAGTTTCTCTGACAATTTTCTCATGTAAAAGCATGCTGATTCCTGGACCGTCCGTGGGCCGGATTTAGAAAGTGATTGGGCCGGATCCAGCCCCTGGTCCTTAGTTTGCCTACCCATGGTTTATGCCTCATCTCCTCTCTTTCCCTTGCCTGAACATTGCCGGAGGGCTACAATAAACATCCACCATTAACTCACTGGCGTGGCCAGAAACCACCTCACCCCTTCTTTCTCAGGAGAGTAGAGGGTCCTGGGATCTATAGGAGAGCTAGAATATATGTGTCTCTGCACACCTTTCTTGCTACTTACACTCGCTTCATTCTCCTGTTCTGTACATAGCATGCTTCAAATGTCTGTCCCAACCCTTCTGCAACCTCATGCCCTTCAGATGTTTTGGACTCCCAAGTCCCATCATGCCAAGGGAGCATGGGCTGGTGATGATCAAGGATGATGCGAGCTGCAGTCCACAACATCTGGAGGGCAGCAATTTAGAAGAAAGACCTCTTTCTTTCTTTTTTATTATTATTTATTGAATTTATATACCTCCCAATACCCGGGGGTCTCAGGGCAATTCACAGAACAAAATCAAGATCTAAAACCACAAAATACCTAGTAAAAATAGCAACCCAATACCCCCCCCCAAAAAAAACCATTTTAAAAGGGCATAGGATATAAATCGGATCAACCAAAGGCCTGGTTAAAAAGGAACATTTTCCCCTGGCACCCAAAGGTGTATAATGAAGGCACCAGGCTAACTTCCCTGGGGAGAGCATTCCACTGCAGAGAAAGCCCGTTCTTGTGTTCCCACCCTCCGAACCTTTCGAGGAGGGGGCATGCGAAGGACGGCCTCAGAAGATGATCTCTGGGTCTGGGTAGGTTTATATGTCATCTTTCAGTTAGGAAAAAAATCTGGGTCATTTACAATATAACAAACAAAACAGTGGTACCTCGGGTAACAGACGCTTCAGGTTACAGACACTTCAGGTTACAGACTCCGCTAACCCCGAAATAGTACCTCGGGTTAAGAACTTTGCTTCAGGATGAGAACAGAAATTGCGCAGAGACAGCGGGAGGCCCCATTAGCTAAAGTGGTACCTCAGGTTAAGAACCGACCTCCAGAACGAATTAAGTAACCCGAGGTACCACTGTAATCAAAACCATCTCAGTCAAAATTCATCAAAGGTTAAAAATCTGGTAGTTATTTTTTTAAAAAAAATATTTAACCTGACACCTCTAGGCAATCAGTACTGGTGCCAGGCAAGCATTCCCAGGAAGAAAATTCCATAAATGGAGGACCACAACTGCAAAGGGCCTCTCCTCAGTCTCCAGCCAATTTACCGTATTTTTCACTCTATAAGACGCACCAGACCACAAAACGCACCTAGTTTTTGAAGGAGAAAATCAAGAAAATAATATTCTGAATCTCAGAAGCCAGAACAGCAAGAGGGATCGCTGTGCAGTGAAAGCAGCAATCCCTCTTGCTGTTCTGGCTTCTGGGATAGCTGCACAGCCTGCATTTGCTCCATAAGACGCACACACATTTCCCCTTACCTTTTATGAGGGAAAAAGTGAGTCTTATAGAGCAAAAAAATACGGTAAGTCGTATGGCTGGAGTTTCCAGAGGAGCAACTCAGAAGAAAATCAGACTTTGGACAGGCTGATGCGGGTGTGCTTCCTCCTTCCCCGGGTTCAACAACATGGAGGAATTTAAATGTGAGCACCATCACTCTGTGCTCAAGTAACCAAGCTGAGAGACATAATCAGAGTAGTTTATAAGCAATTCAAGAACAAAGGAATTGCTGTTAAACAAAAGTAACATTTATTTGCTGGTGGAGGGAGGGAGGGAGCATTATGCAACACAACACACTAGCATATTTAATTCAGCCAATAATTTCTGTGTGCAGATGCATGTATAAGCACTGCCGTTTCTGAGCATATCAATTAGGATTTTTTGTTCGTTTGCTTTTAAAGTGGAATCCGCACTCTCAAGTGAAAAGAATGTGAACATGTATTAAATTAGGGTTGCCATATTTCAGAAAGTGAAAATCCGGACACAAAAGTTGTGCACCTACAATGGTACCTTGGTTCTTGAACTTAGTCCGTTCTGGGGGTCCGTTCCACTCCTGAAACTATTTGAAAAACAAGGCGCGGCTTCTGATTGGCTGCAGGAGCTTCCTCAACTCAAGCAGAAGCTGCGTCAGATTTTCAGCTTCCGAAAAACATTTGCAAACTGGAACACTTACTTCTGGGTTTGCAGCGTTTGGGAGCTGATTTGTTCGCGAGCCAAGCCACCCGAGAACCAAGGTACCACTGTATTTTTAAGGACACTGGCCAAAAAAATCAACACTTCCGATATGAACAGCAATATGCTTGGATTTTCCTGGACATTTTGACCGATTTCTGAAAATTCTGGAAGCTATTTTCAGTGTCCGAATCGTGGACATATCCGGGAAATTCTGGATGTATGGCTGCCCTAATTAAATGCACACAGAATAAACATCACGGAGACAAATCAAATCAAAACGTAATTATTTGCAGTGCAGGATGGCTGTGTCCTATGCCATCTGGTGGTCATTCCTCTCTGTCTTGTCGTTTCCAGAGGGCCTGCTTATTAAGCACTCAACATGATTAGTTTGCACAAAGTATGTGGGGAGGTTAGATGACATCGACCACTTATTGAGCATTTATTCTGATTTGTTCGTGAAAAGGTTATAAAGTACTGCATCAACCAGGCATGATGCCCAAAGATCACAAACTGTCTGCTGGGGCAGGGGAAGTGAGTTTGTTGTGCAAGAACTCCAGAACTACCGTATTTTTCGCTCTATAGGACACACTTTTTCCTCTCCAAAAATTAATCAAATTCTGTTCACGTATAAATACTGTCCCTTGAAGTCAGAACATGAACTGTCACAGTTTTGTGAATTTTGTACACTGGCTTCCGTACCATGCATTTAAAGCACGCTGTGTCCCGCAAAGAATTCTGGTTACCGTGTGTAGAACGTTACAGGCTAAAATTGGGGAGAGTCGAGGTGGGGCTGGTTTTCCCCTTAAGAGGGTCCCCTACCCTTCTCCCCCTATAATACATGCACAGAATAAGGTCAGATAATTCAATCAGTAACAGAAATGGGAGCAGAAATTGCCATTATTTGCATATTTGACCGACAAGAGGAAGGGAAAGCACGTAAATATAAGCACTATTCACTATTGTGATTTTTTAAATCTACAAATGTTACACAAATTTGTTGTTTTCTGAATTGTTTTTGGCATTCCTCTTCCACTGAAATGCACCAAAATTGGTCTTAGTCACAGCAGATAGTGAGACAAACAACGTAGGTTTTAGCAGAAGCCTATACGGTAGTGGAGTTGATTGGAACAAACACGGAATATGACAGATATCACTGCCCTAGCACAGAATGAGATTCCTCCCAGTTCTGATTCTATGAAGCCGATATTCCTGGTGACTAGCAGCTTGTTTGTGCAATTGGATACCCTGATATGACAACCACTTAACCTCTGTTCAAAAAGCAAATTGGAGGTCAAAACAAGTAGAAGTGAGTGAAGTGATCATAGCTGAGCGGCAGAGCAGACGCTTTGCCTGCAGAAAACCCCAGTTTCAATTCCTGATGTGGCCAGTGAAAAGGATCAGATAATAGATAGGAAGGATCCTCTCCTAGGGATCCTGGAGGACAGGTACCAGTCAGAAAATACTGATCTAGGTGGACCGAAGGCACAGTGGAAGATGTTGTTAGGGCCTCACTCTCTTTGCATGCAGAAGGTCCTGGGTTCAGTCCCCAGCATCTCTGGTTAAAGGGGTCAGGTGATGGGAAAGAATCCCCTTTGCCACCACTCGAGACTCTGGACCACCACAGAAAACCAGAATGGGCAAAATGAGCAGAGTTTGACCTGGTATAAAGCCACTTCCTATGGAAGAGTCAAATCCAATCCAATATTTATCACAGTCAGTGAGCATCATAAAAAACCCCAAGATGTGATGCACATTGAACACATCCAGATGGGCATAACAGAGTAAAAACAATACAATAAAAAGTAAAAGTAGCACAGAGTGAAACAAAATGGGCATCAACATTTTAAAAGTTGTAGTTGTAACCAGTACTCCCCCCCGGGGGGGTGCTACTCAAGGGTACACAATACTGGCACCTTTTTTCTAGAAGAAAAGCACTGCCTGTAACACAAACTTCAAAGAGAGAAATGTAGAAATGCCTGAGGTCAATTCCTGGCGGGTTTTGCTCGCTGCAGCACAATACTTGATCACCCGGAGAGCGATAGATGGAACAGTATCATCAATGCCTGTCAAGGTCAGGTGTCTTGACTCAGCTCCTTATTTCCTGGGATAAGTTGACCTGTCAACACGAGGCAGCTTGTTAACTTTGGTGGGTAGAGTTCATGGTTGTACAGGAGAGAGAGGGAGGTCTCATGTTCAATCTCCAAAATCTTTGATAGGGCTGGGAGACCTGTTTGAAATTACAGAGACCCTTTGTCAGTCACAGGGGACAGTATTGAGCTGGATAGACCAATGACCTGATGAAATAAAAGAGCTGTATCCCACGTTCCTAAATGTGGGAAGTTCAAAACACAATCATACCTTGGTTCTCAAACAGCTTAGTTGATGAACAAATAGGCTCCGGAACGCAGAAAACCCAGAAGTAAGTGTTCCTGTTTTCGAACGTTTTTTGAAAGCCGAACATCCGACGCGGCTTCCGCTTGAGTGCAGGAAGCTTCTGCAGCCAATTGGAAGCTGCACCTTGCTTTTTGAAAGGTTTCGGAAGTCAAACGGAATGGATTAAGTTTGAGAACCAAGGTATGACTGTAGTTGGGCACATGTGTCTTACAGAAACAACCCCAAAGTCCTCATTTCATGCAACACTCTTAAGTCACAAAGCCAGTTCCAGGTTTCTGGGGGCCTTTGTTCCCCTCCTTTTTCTACTTGAACCCCCCACTCTCCCTCTTGCACCCCCCCTTAAAGTAAAACAACTATTGACCCATATGGCAATCCCTACACAAAAATATGGGGGTTGCCAAATTCAGACAATGCCAATGTTTCAATTTCCACTCTTTGCTCTCCATTTTTTTTCTGCAAACAACATAACTTAGATGTATAACTTAATCTGCGATGCTATACATGCTTCCCCAGGAGTAAGTCCCATTGAACCCAATAGGACTGTATGGTGCCTTCCACATTTCCAACCGCCCACTGACATACCTTTCCCCCCCAGGAATGACGTGTCAAGCCCGGACCTCCTACGTAGAGGACGAGATCCTGTGGGGCCACCGCTTTGAGCCCTGCATGACGTTGGAGAAAGGCGCCTTCCGTGTAGATTACACCCGCTTTGAGAAGACCTTCGAAGTCCAGACGCCAGTGATTAGCGCACGAGAGATGTATGAACAGCGGGAGATGGAAAACCAGGACCAGTCGACTCTCAGCTTGTACTGGGACCATCTGCTGCACCCCTGTCTGTCGGCAGACCTCAACAACGATGGTCCCAGTGACGAAGGTCTCTCCAAACTGGGCTTCTCCAACATCACAGAAGAGGAGAGAAGCAGCGAATACAAAAACCCAGAGGCCAGTGTTTGAGCAACCTCAGGCATTCAGGGCTTCTCTTTCAACCAACAGGAACCAAGAATAAAGCGATGCCCTTCAGATTCGCAGGAGGATATCTGCCCTTTTTTTCACATCATGTTGTGGTTGTTGCACTCCCAGGTGGAGCTGTATGGAAAGGCGGCTTGTTCTGTTTCAGCAAGTCCTCAAACACATCCCCTGCCCAGCCATTGTTGACTTCAGGGGACTCTTCCCATTAGCTCTCTCTGGGTTTGCCGAATTAAGATGATGCCCTGAAATAAAATTGCACTACAGGACAGCTCTTGGGGCTGGATCCCTTACAAAGAGCAACTTTTGTGTTCCTGAATCAATGTCCGATTGGGGGTTCTGGTTTCTGCAAGCAGACGTTCAACGCTGAATCTGTCCCTTTGAAAACAACAACAACCCAAAACCCTTTTGGCTACTTTTATTGGCATAGCTATCGCCGTCAAAGCTGGATAGCTCGTAAGGGTTGACCGGAATCTTTCTTTGCTTCGAGTTTAACCACTTTGGAAAAAGCTTTGCGTTGGGTGTCCTGGGGTCTGTCCAGTTCTCTGGCTCCCCCCTTTTCTATGCCACATGCAGTAGGTGCCTGGGCTGCAGGCAGCACCCCCAACTGCAGCTCCCTCCAGGCGCAAATGCAAAAGTGTCTCATCTTGTCACAGTGCCATACAGAACTCTTTCTTGGTGGATGTGTTGTCCTATCTATCCCTCCCTTCCTCATTGCCCATGTGCATTTAGCTGGCCCCATTTCTCTCCTTCTTTGCCTAATGGAAGCCTTTAGCTCCTGGGCTCACCAGTCTTACGGTCCCTCTTTTGCTGTGGCTGCTGCTAAATGGAATTATTTTTTACACAAAGCCACACACCCTTTTCCAACAAGGACACGGGGAGGGGAAACGGGAAAGCGAATAAAGTTTATTCTTTGAACAATGATATATTGTGTGCCTTCATGCTTTGCAGATGAGTGCTGTGAGGCAAGTATCAGCTGGAGACATGATCTGGAAATGTTGAAAGCATTGCGGGTGTCTATGAATGGGACTTTCTTCTAGATATTTAGAGTGAAACGGGATGGAAGGTGAGGAAAAGAAGATAATTTGGGAAGAAGAGCCTGTCCTGCAATAATGATGTTTACATGGGCTGTGTCTGTATCTCTTTACTCAATCTCAATCTCACATTAACTTGTACTGCGAATGCCCTCCTGTCTACAGAGCAGGGGTGGGTATTCCTATGTTAGCATTCGGATGTTGCTGAACTGCAGCCCCCATAGTAATTGACCACTGGCCTTACTGGGGCTGACGGGAGTGAAAGTCCAGCAACATCTTACCAGAGAAGAATGGCAAATTAAATTGTTGCACTATGCCAAAATGGCAAAATTGACTGGAAAGCTCAGGAACCAAGAAGACCAAAACTTTAATAAGAAATGGGGGGGGGGGATTTAATTTATCTTGGAGACCAGTGTAAACAGATGAAAACATTAGCAGGATTGCAATAACACTTGTAAAGTAATGGGTATTATGGAGATAAGGAAGTTTATATATATATATATATAAAATGGGAGTATTGAAAAGGATGCAGTAGAAAAGATTTGATAATAGAACCCATGGAGGGGAAGGTGGGAAGGCCAGAGATTCATTGGAATCTCGTAATTGTGGGTATGTGCTATGTTATCTTTACAATTTTATACTTGTAAAATCAAATAAAAATTATTTCTGGGAAAAAGAGAGAGTCCAACAACATCTAGAGGGCCACAGATTCCCCCGCCTACTACAAAGCTTGCATTTCAGTTTTATTCTTTATTGAAAAACAAAAAGGTACAAAATTTCAAGTGCACAGAGTAAGATAAGACACACAAAAAAGAACAAGAGACAGTACCCGTGTAGGAAAGAAAACAGAACAACAACAACAAAAGATATTGTGTACATTACAAAAAGGGGGGAAATAGTAGTTAAGCAGACCTTAACCTAATATGGTGTTTAATAATAAAGACAAATAAAAATACAATTAAAATAATAGGTAAACCAGCTGCCCCATGGAAAGTACATGCTACACCGTGCTGTTCCTCTTTTCAAATATACATAAGTAGCTCTAAGCTTCAAAGGGAGATCAAAGGAACCTTGCATGCAGCCTCCATATGGTGGTCTTATTTAGCCTACTCTTGTGCATGGAAGGGCCACAGCTCAGTGGGAGAGCGTCTGCCTTGCATGCAGAAGATCTCACGTCTATGCCAGAAATACTGACCTAGATGGTGGATACTCTGACTTTGTATAGTTCTGACAACTTTCCTATGTTCCTGTGTAGGCTCGACATTATGTGTGAATTCAACATGGTGTGTCAAAGCCGTTACTGACAAGGCTAGAGTTGCAGCCATTGCTGTGTTCATAAACAGATTACCAACCCTGAACAATCCATTTCAGAATTTACTCTGAGCTATTAAAATAAAACAAAACTGCTCAGTAGTTAATGCAGAAGATTTGTTGGCTTGGCCTCCAACGAAGCAACTTGCTTCAGCAAGTATGTAAGACAGCCCCAAACTGGTGCCCTGCTGATGCTTTGAATTACAATTCCTAAAAGAGATGTCACCCGAAACTTCACAAGGGCATCAGGTCTGGGAAGGCTGATGTAGGATTAAATGAGCTTGTTTTCCAATGAGACCAAGTAGGGGGGAAAGTCGTAATACAGTGGTACCTCGAGTTACAAACGCTGCAGGTTACAAACACCGCTAACCTGGAAAAGTTACCTCAAGTTGAGAACTTTGCCCCAGGATGAGAACGGAAATCGTGTGTGTTAAGTTGTGGGTGAACATATCAGACGACACAGCGATTCTTCAAACAGCTCTTGTTTATTCACAGGCCAGGACAGAACTGAACTGAAGGGTTCAGTCAGCCTGCTTATATAGAGTTCCAGTACAACGTAACTGTAACAACTTTCTAAAACTATCCAATCACTGAAAGTCACTTTCGATCCCTTATTTGCATAACTATCTACAGTATCCCCCTGCTGGCCCCAGGGTGAGAACTTCAGTACAGAACACCGTGCCGGTGGCACATTGGCAACAAGAGGCCCCATTAGCGAAAGCATGCCTCTAGTTAAGAACAGTTTCAGGTTAAGAATGGATGTCCGGAACAAATTAAGTTCGTAACTAGAAGTACCACTGTATGACATTAAGTGCAATGCTCCAGGCTATGCATTTAGGTAACAGAGGGCAAAAACTGAAAAACAGGGGAAGGGAAATGGAGAGAACTGTGCAGAACATGTCACTTTGGGGAAAATGACATCTATTCCTGAATATACTTGAATATTTTATTAGTTACTCTGCTATACATATAAAGAAGCTGTCCAAACACATTTAGCCTCTGTGAACTTCAACTCTATGGGAAGAGAAAGACTGGTGAGGAGGTAATTAATAGTTACCTTGTTATTTCTTTAGTAGGTCACAGCAGACTCAGACAACGAATCATCCTCTCCTAAGCTAGCAGCTGCTCCAGGAGCAATTAGAGGCTCTGTATGCTTCAGCTTGATAGGGCTTACCCCAGCACCACTCATTTGAAGGGCTGTTGCTCAGTGGTAAAGCTTTGCAGGCAGAAGTGTCCCTGGTTCAGGAAAGAACCCTGCATGAAACCCTGGAGGTTTGATGCCAATTAGTTGCATCAGTGTTTTGAGGTATTTGCAGTCTCATTCACTTACTAAGTTTATATCTTGTGATTGCAAGAAACCTCTGGGGTGCTTCACAAGAAAATGCCATTTATTTATTTAAAATATAAAGGTTTGGATGTTCCCTGATGTAAGCGTGAATCTTTGCTGGTTCTTTTCATCTCACACACACACACACACACACACACACAGTTCAGGACTATAATCTACAAGCCTTTTGACTCTACAGTGGTACCTCGGAAGTCGAACGGAATCTGTTCTGGAAGTCCGATCAACTTCCAAAACGTTCGGAAACCAAGGCACGGACTCCGATTGGCTGCAAGAAGCTCCTGCAGCCAATCGTAAGCTGCATCGGACGTTCGGGTTTCAAACAGGAATATTCACTTCCGAGTCTGCAGCGTTCAGGAGCCAAAATGTTCGAGTTGCAAGGCAGTCAACCAAGGTACGACTGTATAGTGGTACCTCAGGTTAAGTACTTAATTCGTTCCGGAGGTCCATTCTTAACCTGAAACTGTTCTTAACCTAAAGCACCACTTTAGCTAATGGGGCCTCCTGCTGCCGCCGTGCGATTTCTGTTCTCATCCTGAAGCAAAGTTCTTAACCCGAGGTACAATTTTGGGTTAGCAGAGTCTGTAACCTGAAGCATATGTAACCTGAAGCGTATGTAACCCGAGGTACCACTGTATTTGTAACCTGAAATGTAAAGAAAAGCTGACTATTACTTATTTGTACATTTATAAATCACAGAATTGCAGAGTTGGAAGGGGGTCCGAGGGTCTTCTAATCCACTCCCCCCCCCCCCGGCAACGCAGGAATCTCAACTGAAGCATCCATGAATGATGGCCATTCAATCTCTTCTTAAATGTCTCCAATGAAGGATCGTCCATCCCCTTCCAAGAAGTCCACTGTTGAACAGCTCTTCTGTATTTAATAAGAACCAACAAATGAGCAAATCTAGGCTCCTCTGAAGGCCGATTCTAAGTGCATTTAACCTCACAGATTTTCAAAGGAAGAGCAGCAAACAGTGAAATCTTATACATTACACAGAAGCAAACCACACTGATTTCAATGGGGCTTAATCCCAAGTAAATATGTATAGGATTGCAGTCTGTGTGTGGAGAATTTCCTAGGGCCATCACAACTACAACGCAGCTTTAAAGTAACCCCAGCCCCACTTCTATGCAGACCCCCAAAGAAAGCATCCAAATTCTGTAGTGGACAAAACAGCCCTGCTGGGTCAGGCCAATGGGCCTTCATGCATTGTGGAGGGTTGGACTAAATGGCCCTTGGGGTCCCTTCTGACTCTATGATCTAGTCAGCAACCTGTTCCCACAGCGGCTATCTGCGGGGAAACCCGCAAACGGAAGATGATCACAAGAGCCATTCTCCCCTCCTGTGGCTTCCAGAAACTGGTATTCAGATGCATTACTGCCTCCAACTGTGGAGGCACAGCATAGCTATCATGCCAGTAGCTGCTGATAATATTTTCCTCCCTCACGAATTTATTTAATTCTTTTTTAAAGCCATATAGGTTGGTGCTGGTCATTACTGCATCCTGTGGGAGTGAGTTCCACAGCTTAATTTACGGGCTGTGTGGATAACTTTCTTGTATATGTCCTGAGTTTTTCAACATTCAGTTTCATTGGATACCCCCGAGTTCTAGTGTGCTGAGAGAAGGGGGGGGGTGTAAAAAACTATTTTCATGTTGCCTCTTACTCGCCTTTTTCCTAAACTAGAAAGGCATCAGACGCTGCAACCTTTCCTCCTAGTGGAGTCGCTTCATCCCTTTCCTCATTTTGAATGCCCCTTTCCGATCCTTTTTCAGCTCTGCGATATCCTTTTTGACGTGAGGCGAAAGAAAACCGACCGATGTGTTTGTTAAGTGTTTCTTTCTGCTCATCAACGACAATTAAGAAAACGCACAACTATAACAACTAAATTTTCAGTACTATGCTGAATTACAGCAGCAGATGAACACCCCCCCCCACACGTTCCTTTGAGGGAGGTCCCTATGCAGCACCGCCTCCCCGCCTGGCTGGTTTGCATTTCTATATTTAAAAATAAATCCTGTCCCCCGCAAGGCGCATTTTCCACCCCATGCCGGCAGGCGAAACTCGCCAAGCGGCCCAAAAAGGAATCCAAAGCAGAAGCTGTTCTATATTTCAATATCTATGGCCACAGATGCGCAGCCGCCATTGGGCCTCGTTCGGGTTTCCTTAAGAGAACGGAGCTGCGGCGCTCTACCCCTCGGCACCTCTATGGCTCCCCGCCCTCATTTCCTATGTAAGCTTTGCGAAAGCACGCCGCGTTTTAATTTATTACTTAACAAATGCACACGTTTACTCTCGAGAGGGGCCCCCTCGGTGCCATCTCTCTTCGTCCGGTGTCTCTCTTTTTAGATGTCAAGGCCTGAGAAACGACTTTCCGCGGGAGACCGGAAGCCTGCGCGTGCCGCTCTACCCTTCCCCAGCGCCCCAACTCCACGGGCGGTCCTCCCGGGGCGGGCGCAGGGCACTCTGGGAATGTAAGGTGTCTCCCGGCGGGAAAGGCTGACGCGCGTTCCCTTTCCCGTGATGCCTTTCGCGCGGCTGAGGAGAAGAAGTGCTGGCGGCGGCTGCTGACGAAGGCGCCGGCTCCCTCATGGCGGAGAAGGCCGAGGCGGAGGCGAGGAGCGCCTCGCTGGTGGAAGCCGTGCTGGCCTGCTCGGGCCGCCTGGAGAAGGAGGGTCTCAGCGGCCGCATCTCCCGCCTCTCTTGCCGGGTGGAGGAGCTCAAGGTGCGAGGAAGGGGAGGGGGGAAAGGGGAGAGAGGTGGGCGGGGCCTCCGAGAGGAGGGACCTGTCACCCAGTGGGCGGGCCTTGGCCGCAGAGGGGCGGGGCTTACATGGGCGCCGCCCCTTTCGAAGCCTTCCTTTTACCCCCTGAAACCCTTTAATGGAGTGATCTAAGCGAGAGTGTTTCTGAGCCCGTGCGGAATTATGTGTTCTTCTATTTATTCATCACCATGTGTTGGCTATTTGCAGATTAGTTGCGCTGCAGAAAGCGTGCTGGGGAGACCACACATTACAAGGAATGCAAAATAGCTTTAAGGTAAAGGGACCCCTGACCATTAGGTCCAGTTGTGACCGACTCCGGGGTTGCGGCGCTCATCTTGCTTTATTGGCTGAGGGAGCCGGCGTTTGTCCGTGGACAGCTTCCAGGTCATGTGGACAGCATGACCAAGCTGCTTCTGGCGAACCAGAGCAGCGCACGGAAACACCGTTTACCTTCCCACTGGAGCGGTACCTATTTATCTACTTGCACTTGATGTGCTTTTGAACTGCTAGGTTGGCAGGAGCTGGGACTGAGCAACGGGAGCTCACCCCTTCGCGGGGATTTGAACCGCCGGCCTTCTGATCGGCAAGTCCTAGGCTCTGTGGTTTAACCCACAGCGCCACCCTTGCAAAATAACTTTAGCTAGGTTTTAATAACAATAACTCCTTTTACACTAAATATATCAACAAGCTTGACCCAACCACCAACCCATCCCCCAGGGTACTGAGAGAGTTAGGTGCTGCTCTTTATATACTATACCCAATTGCTGACACAGCTTAATTAACACAACTTAGCAGCACCTGCTATACTGTTTCACAGCTGTAAAACTAGGTCATGTTATTTGCTCTGGCCCTTAAAGACATACACATCTTGTGGAACAATAATGAACCTTTACATTTAAAGAGACCATTCAACATGTTTCACCTTTCTTCCAAGGAGCTCAAGGTGGCTTTTGCAATTCTCCCCATTTTACCCCCACAACAACCTTGAGAAGTAGGCTAGGCTGGGAGAGACAGTGACTGGCTCAAGGGCCATGTGCTGAGCTTTATGGCCGGGTAGAGGTTTGTATCCTGATCTGCTAGGCCAGTAAAATTTTCCAAACTTAAGGCTCCAGCTGTTCTGGGACCACAATTGCCACCATCCCTGACTTCTGGTCTTGCTAGCTAGTGGTGGTGGGAGCTGTGGTCCGAAAAAACAGCTGGAGGCCCAAGTTTGAGAAACACTGTGCTAGGCCCTAGTGCAACACTAACCACTATTCTATGCTGTGATGAGCTGGCAGGTTAATTTTTTCACCCGGTAGGTAGTTTTTTCAGAGTTCGACACTGGTGTGTGTAATGCTTTTTGTTTAATTTCTCCCCATTTTACCCCCACAACAACCTTGCTGTAGAATAGCAATGTAAGATGTTTCCTTATGCTGCGTCACACCTTTGGTCCTTCCAGCTCAGTATTGTCTACATACAAACTGGCAGCAGCTTCTCCAGGGGACAGCTACAGGTCCACCTGGAGATGCCATTGGAAATTGAACCTGAGACCTTCGGCATCCAAAGTTGATGCTCTGCCACTGAGCTCGGCCCTTTCCCATAGAGTTGGTCGTCTAGTCCTCCCATGTTCTTCAACCAGATGTTGTTGGAGTGCCACTCTTAGGATCTCTTAACTGTTGGTTGAGCTGGCAGGGGTAATGGGAGTATTCTAGCAACATATGGCATCCCAGGGTTAAATAATAACAAATCCACTGCTTACTGCAACTACTGACAGTTGGACCAAAGAGAAGTTCTCTCTGGATCAATATGACTACTGTGCCCTTGGGGGTTATTTGCCTTCCGCTGCAGCATACAACATGTGTTGCTTACTTGAGGCCTCTAAAGATAATTTGCTGTGCAGGGACCTTGTTTGTTACACCTTTTATCTACTTGTGTTAAATTGGATTGCTTGCAATCTCTGAGGGACTGGCAAATGGAGAATCATGCTTTTGGTCAACTGATTGGGTTCCATGAGTTATTGCACTTCTGTGATTTTATGTAAGTTTGAAGTGACTTTTCCCTCCACTCTTCCAGGATGAAGTCTGCAGCATGGTTAACAAGAGGTACATAGAGTTTCTGCCCAGTATGCAGAGTGCCAAGGATTTGGAGTCCCAAGTGGAGGAACTTTCTGGCAGCATTGACCAGCTGAAGTCCAGGATTGAGATGGAGGTGATGCAAAGAAAAATAATGGGCCTTTACCAGAACTGAGTCTTCAGCTAGTTAGAAGGACTAAGAAGTTTGATGTTGCCAATCCAAATGTCTGACAAAAAAGCTCCATAAAATTATATGATCATAAAATAACTGCAAATTGGAAAGTAACTTTTTTGTGTGACCTTGCTGCCTGAACATCACAGCACAGGGTTTTCCCCCTCAAATAATACTGTATCTAGACCTAACTAGATGCTAAGAAGCTTCCATGGGCCTAAGGAGTATGCTTTCTGTGCCTAGCCCTACAAAAAGGAGGTACAACATGTAATAAAAAACAGCTAAATAATGTTTGCAACCCAGACTTGTACAAATGCTTTGGTTTTGTGGCTCCTTCTCAGGTTCAGCATGACCTGAACGTGGCCATTGCAGAATTTTCTGAGCTGAAACAGCAACTGGAGAGAGACACATTAGTTCTGACTGGGCTGAAGCAGCTGCAGGAGGTGAGAGGGGGCCTCTCTTCCCCAGTTGCAATGCCAATCTATTCATTTGTTTTTTCAGACCTCATTCTGAATATAGTCAACAGTAATTTTTCCTTCTTTTTATTTTAAAGTTCGAAACTGCTCTCAAACAGTTCAATGCCTTGCTGCCACAAAAGAAGTATGTGTCAGCAGCCTGCCACCTGAACAAGGTAATTCCAGTTGCTTTGGGGACTGGTGGTCTTTTGTGACTGCTGTGGACTTTTGTATCCCTCTAAGAATGGACTTGCTTGGCTCCTGTTTGTGCAGTTTCTTACTCTTTGTCTCTTTCTCCTCTTTTCTGTCAGGCCCGGAGGATTCTGAAAACGCTGGAGTCACGTCGAGGCTTTGAGCTGAAGATTCTGAAGGCGCTCCGCAGGGAGCTCATAATGCAGACCCAAAACATTATCTACCTCTTGGGTCAGGAGTGGCAGCAAATGGCTGTGTGGAAGGTTCCTCAATCAAAAGGTTTGGCGGGGAGCATTGTTTGGGGGTTGTGAATGTGTACTTTTTGGAGGGCAGAGATGAAACGGCAGACAATTTGACTTTGACTGATCTCTGGTGGAGGGGAGGATATCTCAGTGGTAGAGCATGTGTTCTGCATTCCGAAAGTTCCAGATTTAAGCTCTGGCATCTCCAGATTTTTAAGAAAGTGAGGTAGCAGGTGCTGGAGCCATTGCCAGTCAGAGTGAATGGTACTTAGTTGGTTGGACAAATAGTATCACTTAGTAAAAGTTGCATTTTAAGTTATTGTGACCCAGCCTTGTTGCAAATTGGAAAAGTGGTCCTGCAAATACATATTCATATATGTGTAGGGCTTTATAAGATTAAGATGTTGGTAGTCTTTGCACAACTAAAATGTTAGTACAGAGAGTATATGTGGTTCTGTCGGGCTTTATTGTCCTGTTTGATCACATAATAGAATCTAAAAGGGCTTACAGTGGTGCCCCGCAAGACGAATGCCTCGCAAGACGGAAAAACCGCTAGACGAAAGGGTTTTCCGTTTTGGAGTTGCTTCGCAGGACGAATTCCCCTCTGGGCTTGCTTCGCAAGACGAAAATGTCTTGCGAGTCTTGAGATTTGTTTCGCTTCCCCCTTTTATCTAATCTGCTAAGCCTTTTATAGCCTTTAATAGCCTTTTAGCAGCTAATCCCTAAGCCTTTAAGCCTTTAATAGCCGCTAAACCGCTAATAGCGCTAATCCGTTAAGCCGCTAATAGGGTTGCTTCGCAAGACGAAAAAACCGCTAGACGAAGACTCTCGCGGAACGGATTAATTTCGTCTTGCGAGGCACCACTGTATAGACAAATTTCCCCCTCCAGAGTTATTGTGGTTCACTTATTGGGCTTGGTTCAAGAATTGCTTTCCTGCTTTCCTGTGGACTTATTCTTGACTATACATAGGCTATTCTTTCTCAACCACTGTTCCCTGTCTGGTGGGGGCAATGGGAATATTAGTAATGTACCTTATGGCACTGTTGAAAACAACAAGCAAGCAAAGAGATACAAAGAAATTCACAAGTGCTGGAAGTTCTATACAAAAAAGTAATGGTTCCTTTTGTCCTTGGGTAGTGCAACCAAAGTAATTGAAATGCCTAGAATTTTATGGTTAGCAATGCCTATTGTAATATTATTGTCTGTGTTGACAAACTTGGAAGAGTTGGGAGATTCTGAAGAGCACTTGGAAGTCTTGGCTGAAACTTGTAGGAACCGGCATCGAATTTCAGAGTGCCTGGGAAAAAAATTGGTGGTTGATGCTGATAAGCTTCCTTTTCTTTCTGCTTGTCTGTGACTGCAGAAACAGACTTGGGGGGGTGGGAAGAGTGTGGCTTGTCAAGGACCTGACAGACCATAGTGCATTTTTTGTGGGCTGTGTTCAGTTTGGTGTTCACAAAGTGCAGAACCAACTCAAAAATTATGGAAATTCTGTGCCCCGCCCCACCTTGTGCTGAATCCTCTCAAAGCCTGCCATCCTGCTTCCCTTTTTCTGAATGTTGACAAGGAACTGTTTGGGTTTGCGGATTTGAAACAGGTCAAGCATGCTCTGCAGGTTACATCTTGAAGATTTTTATGTCTCCTGGCACTCTGCACTTTACATGTTTCTGAGCTCTCTCGCAGGATTGTGGCAGAGTGTAACAGGGGAAGGAAAGCAATTTGGATTCAGGAAGGATGAGCTTTCTCTTTCCTATCTAATGTTTTGTGTTTTATATGCATCCTGTTTTATAGAGGAGTCTGTCCCAAGAAGTTAAAGCTAGTAACATGGGAAGCTGCCTTATTATTGCTGCTGCTGTTTATTAAGATTTACAGTTTGTTAATAAATAAAAAAGCATGTTCACGTTTATATGGTTGATACATGGAATGCTTTATACTGATTCAATGGTCTTTTCCATTGCATGCTACCTAACCGCCCCCCCCCCCCCGAGCTGTCATGCAATGAACCTAAGACCTTCTGTGTGCAAAGCAATCTCTACCATGGAGCGATGGTCTCTTGCTATTTGTAAATATCCATACCAACATGGGACATGCATCTCATTGGCTCCTATTGAACACATGCAAGCAACCCTATTTGTGGAATTGCCTGTGAATTGATATTGAAGTCTGGAAAGGCAGGTCATGCAAAACCTATCCTCTGTGTTTGCTCTTTTGCTTTGAAGCCAATGTTTTGCTGTAACGGGGGCTTGTCCTGTGTACTTCTTGCTTAGAAGCGGGCAGCCTGGAGTCAGCCATGGAGACAGAACTGCATTTGTGCAAGGTGCTGTCCAAAGAGGATGTGGTCCCTGGCCCAACAGTGGCATCTGTGCTGCAGGCATTTGCGATCCTGGATGAGCTGCGTTTGAAGTTCAGGCACTTCGGTAAGTGACTTTCACTGGCAACAACCAAAATTTGGCTGTAGTTAAAACCATATGGCATTTGAATTGGATCAGGTTTCCAAACTTTAGATACCTGAAGCACAGCTGTTTTTCTGGATTAAAATCAGAGACTTGCTTCCCTCTTCCCTCACAGCAGTCTGTTCTTAATCAGCTCCTAAAACAGTGGGGAGGCATCCTTCTTCCATCTTCAGTATCGCTCAGTTAATATTTTCTTTTCCACCTCTTTATTATTATTATTTTGCCTAGTCAGGAATAGCATTGGACAGGGGTGATGCTCTTGTAAGCATGGAAGGGTCGTAGCTCAGTAGCTGAAACATTCATGGAGATGTGGGAAAGAGTTTAATTAAATATACAGAGTCAAATTGCATCAGTTTTATCTTTTCTTTGTTAAGAGCAGTATTTTCGAATTCCTCTTGCTTGCTCCAGAAGAATCTACTACCCTCTTCTTCCTTGCCCACCCCCTTGTAATATCTTCATTCTTAAGTTAAGCTACACCAATTCAAGGAATGTTGCAGCAGCCCAAGTGCAAATGCCGCCCAGCATGCTGCTTCTACTTTGTCTTTCAACCCCGGCTATTAATGGCTCCCTCCTTCCCTGTTCTTTGTGCCAGGACAGTTGCTGCTGAAGTACATCCTCAAGCCGCTCATCTCCCACCCGTCATTGCAGCCCTTGCCTGAGGAGCACCCTGATGCCGTCACGCTGAGGTTTAGGTCTGTGGGCTCCAATCTTGGCCACCCGTCCCCCGTGGAGGTGTTTGCCAGAATCAAGCTGGTACTTGAGGTCCTTCACAAGTATCATTTAGGTACGGAGCTCCTTGCTAGCCGGAACCATGGGAGGTGGCTGTCAGAGTGGGCCAGGAGAACTTCTCGTGTGTTGCTGAAGAAGATGCCACAGAACTTGGCCAGGGAACCTGTGGCCTACCAGATGTTGTACTCCAACTCCCATCAGCCTCATCCAGCATGGCCAGTGTTCAGGAATGATAAGAGTTGTAGTTCAACAACATCTGGAGGGACAAGGGTTCACCAGCCTAGCCATTGAGGCTTCTAAAAATTATGCCACTGTTTTCCAAATGCAGAGGAAATCTGCCGAGGGGAGCTGCCCCTATTGTGCATGCTGGTGTTTTGTGCCAGGGCATCGAGGGGGCCATGATTATTCTCACATTCTGAACTCTGTATCTGTTTTCCCAGGTGTTCCACTTGAGCACTGTGCAGAGGAGGAGAACAGCTCCAATCTTGTCCTGGCAGAGGTGTTGGGTGACACAATCTGGAAGGACATTTCGGACTGTCTCATTCGCGACTGCTTGGTGCATTCGATCCCAAACAACAGCAGCAAACTGGGGCAGTATATTGAGGTGAGCGTTGCAGCAGCTGAGGGACTGTGAAGGATGGGAAAGGCCTGTGGAACAGTTCCCTAAACCCTCTTCCCTTTGCCTTCAAAGTTACCCCTTGAATTGTAGTTGTAAAGGTTTGCTTAGCGGACAAAGGCAAAAGTTCAAAATATGCACATACTAAAATAACTGGTCTTTTCCTGAGTGTCTTCCTTTTTTCTCTGTTGTTAGTAGGCCACTATAGCGGCTGATAAATTCTAATGCGTCAGCTTCCCATGGCCTGCTACTAAACCAAATGATCCATAATTTCCTTATTTTATGGGGATTCAAAGCCTGAAAGCTGGAGACAGGCACATTCATTCCCAATACTGGGCCTTCTGTTCCACCCATAGGTAGCATTTACGGGGCTCACTGTTCCTCCTCTCTCCCCCATCCCCTGGTTTAGGTTATTAAAGCTACTGAGGAGTTTGAAAAAGCCTTAAAGGACATGCGGTTCCTAAAGGAGGATGCCACCGACTTGCTGACTTATGCCCGTAACGTCAACTGCCACTTTGCTAATAAGAAATGCCAGGATGTGATAGTGGCAGCCAGAAATCTGATGACATCGGAAATACACAACACCGTAAAGGTAGCTGAGCCAATAGAACCTCTGCTTATTTCCTCAGTGTTTGGGTATTTTTCCAGGTGGATTGCGTAATCCTGTGCATTGTTAACCATGCTTACATTTTAGTGGTATGCATTTTTTTTTGGGTCTTTTTTAGTTATGCCAAAGTATGTGAATCAAGCAGTGCTCTGGGATAGCTCTTTATTTTGAGCAAAGTCCAGTTTTTGAAACAGGAAATGCAAGATCCCCATACAGAGTTGTGCTGCCCTACATAGATCGGTTTAGTACTGTATTGGCCCGAATATGAGCCGCCCCTGAATATAAGCCACATCTTTTAAATTCAAGGGGGGGGGAATAAAAAAAGACAATACCTGAATATAAGCCGCTCCCTTAAAATTCCGCAGCCGTTCACACCTGTTCCGGTTTACCGTATGTCTGTTTCAGCAGTGAGATCATAAAAGCCAATTTTTGTACAGTTGTGAATTTTAGCTGCATTTTAACTTTTCGCGGTCAGAATTTGGGGGGAAAGTGAGGCTTGTATTCAGGCCAGTACGGTATGTTTGGGGCCTGCTGAGCTGTGCAGTAAACCTAACCTGGGTTGTGTCTATGGTCTTCCTAGGCACTCTTGTAGTAAGCTTTTCCCCTCTTCCTAATTGGACTTGTATTCTGCTCTTTCTGGTAAAACAGAAGATCATTTAACTTTTAGTGGTCTTCCTTCCAGACTCGTTAAAAGTCCTGCATTCCAATCCCAACACAAACCCTTGACTTTGGGCCAGTCATTCTTTTTCACTCAGGCCTACCTCATAGGGTTGTTGAGAGAGCAAACAGGCAGGAGAGAAAATAACCATATGTATATCAATCTGAGCTCTTTGAAGGGTGGCCTGGGGTATTATTGAATACAGTGTTAGGAGCTATTAAGTCCTCCTAATATCATTTGAATTCCTCAGAAGTAGCCATGAAAGTCAGACTAGTCTAAAACAGCCTTGTTGCACCTTAACAGCTAACAATTTTATTGTGGCATAACCCTTTTTAGTGCTAAAGCTGCCACACCGCGCTTTGCTTTTGCTACAAGATACTAACACTTGTCACACCTCTGGAATTTCTTAAGTTACTTCAGTTGTGCCCTAAGTTGGTATTTTGCTTGCGCTGCAGTTCCACTCCCCTCCCTCCCCTCCAGTGTACATCTTTATTTTCCCTTCCTAGGTTACCCCAGACTCCTCTGTAATTCTGCCCAAAATGCCTGACCCCGGAGCAGGTGATCAGTTAAAGGTGCAAAAAGTATCTGAGGCTCTTGACAAGCAGGCGACAAATTTGGAGAATGAGAAAAGGCTGAGCCGCCACACCTTTTCGTTTCCTGCCTGCCGCATCAGTGAATCTGTACAAAAGTTGATGGTGTTGGCTTATCAGACGCTCCAGGAAGCCTCAGCCAGCACGGATCAGTGGTGAGGACTCTGAGTGAATTGTTTGGGCTCAGCTGATCTCGGGGGGAGGGGGGTTGAGTGGGTATGAATGTAGGCCTGCCATGCAGCCAACAAATGCTTAAGTCCTGCAAGCATTTTGTGCTGTAGCCGTGATGGTTTCAGCCACACAACTCAGATAATGTTTCTGCTTTTCCTTTCTTCTCCCTGTGTCCCCCCCCTCATCCCCAGCTGCATCCAGCTCTTCTACTCTGTGCGGAACATCTTTCATCTGTTCTGTGATGTGGTGCCGATGTATCACAAGTGAGTGACATGAAAAACCTCTCCAGGGAGGTGAAAAATCTTTGTTTCTTCAGTCCCCCTTTCCTCCTTTTGTTCTCTCTTAAAAAACAAACAAAAAACCTTTATGAAGACATAGCTTAATGGCTTTGGACAGTGATCCTTTGGAAATTTCAGAAATGTTTGAGCAACAGCAGCTTTACATTCCATGCAGGTGCCAGAGAACAGCTTGCCTAAACCCATATAGTCTGAAGAAAGATGCAACAGCAGGCTCCTCCACTGGCAGCTAACATATCTCATAGAGTTGGAAGAGACCACAAGGGCCATTGAGTCCAACCCCCTGCTATGCCAACTCCAAATGGGCACTGCATGATCCCAAAGGGACTGCCTTCCCTCTGCCTTCGCCTCTCGCCCTTCCTCCATTAGGGGTTTTCTACCCCAAGGATGGGAGACACGTAGTACTTCATAAAGTGTTGGGCTCCGAAACCCATCAGCCTCAGCTAGCAGGGCCAATGATCAGAAATGTTGAGAGTTGGTCTGCAAAAGCATCCGAGGGGACCACATATCTGTTCTAAGCATATAGACAGAATCACATTCCTGCTCTGGGAAACATAGTGGCTTTATTTTCTTTAGATGGTTGCAGAGAAAAATGATCAAAAACTGTCTCATGACCATGTGGGAATATCTGCTCTCCCCCTTCTTTTCCTCTCCCTAGAGAAAACCTCCAGAAACTTCCCCAGCTGGCTGCTATACATCACAACAACTGCATGTACATTGCACACCACCTTCTGACCCTGGGCCACCAGTTCCGGGGCCACCTAATGGATGGAATAGCCACATTTGTTGACCTTGTGCCTGGTTTCAGGAAACTTGGTGAGCCTGGAGGAAACTTACTTGTTCATGTTTATGGATATTTACACCATGCTTTCCAACCTAGCTGGATTCTCAAAGCAGCGTACCTTTCAAATGCAAACAGAGATTCAGTTATAACAGGGATATGTGGTGTGTTGTGTGTGGCATTGTGGTACAGTCCAGGTTCTTCTTCTTGTTATACCAACCTGATGCTCTCCAGACATTTGGACTCCAGCTCCCATCAACCCCAGCCAGCATGGACAATGTTTAAGGAAGATGAGAGTTGTAGTCCAACAGCATCTGGAGGATGCATGGTGGGGGAAGATCATTCTAGCGGGAAAGGGGTGGGGGACGGAACCACAGGTGACCCTGAAAACTAGTAAATTTGCCAACCCACAGTAGCAATCCCTCTGCCTGATCTTCTTCTGTATTGTATTTCTGTGGGACTCCTCACAAGTGCAGAGGAACATTCCCCTGAGTTCCCTTGAAAATTCTCCTGCTGTACTTTGCAGGGACCTGCTGCTTATGAAGAGGTAGATCTTTGGGTAGGTCAGAAACTTGCCTGGTGGTATTATGGTTCCTGGAACTTGAGGCCAGAGTTGAGACTTCTCTCTCTTCCCCACAGGGACGGAGTGTTTCCTGGCTCAGATGCGAGTGCAAAAGGAGGAACTCCTGGAGAGACTCTCAAGCGCCAGGGATCTCTCCAGTGTGGATGATGACGACAACTATTCAGCGGCAAACAAAGCTGTGCGGCAGGTGAGTGGAGGTGAAGCTTTTGAGGGATCGGCTGCAAGCTTTTACAGTGCCCATCATTTGAAGTCTGTACATTACACTGACACTGAAAGGCAGGTACTGTTCTGAACAATGAAGGAAGATCAGGAGAGCCCTACTGGGGCTGTTTAGTCTGTTCTCCTGTTTACAGCCCTGGCCATGTAGATTCCACGAGGAAACCTCTAAGCAAGGCATGAGAGCAACAGCCTTCCCCTGTTGTCATTTTTCCCCACACTCCCCCCCAGCAACTGGTATTGAGTGGTATACTATCTCTGAACCTGGAGGTTCTACTTAATCATCAAAGCTCCCCCTTTCACAGCCATCTCTGCCGCTGAACATCAACACATTTTGCCGGAGACACCCCCATAATTTGGCTAAGAGTTGTGTAAAGAAACAGTTTCTGAAACTTTCTGTTTGCTGCCTGTCAGTTTTACTGGAATGACTCCAAATTCTAGTACCTTGGTACCTTGGTAGTCGAATGGCTTGGCTCCCAAATGCCGCAAACCTGGAAGTGAGTGTTCCGGTTTGCAAACGTTTTCTGGAAGCCAAACGTCCGACTTGACTTCCACTGCTTCCAATTGAGTGCAGGAAGCTCCTGCAGGCGATCGGAAGCCATGCCTTGGTTTTCAAACGGTTTCGGGAGTCGAACAGACTCCGGGATTAAGTTCGAGAACCAAGAATCCCTCCATCAACATGCCTACTTTTCTAAGCTGCATCCTGCCACTGCCTGTTCCTCCCCACCCCTACCAGTCACATTGTGAATCGTCTTGGGTTTGTATGTATTAAGAAGGTGCAGTTTCTTTCAAGGTCTTGCACCAGCTGAAGAGGCTTGGCATGGTCTGGCAGGACGTTCTTCCAGTGAATATCTACTGCAAGGCCATGGGGACTCTGCTTAACACCGCTCTCACTGAGATCATCAGCAGAATTGCTGCCTTGGAGGTGAGAACCGTGTCGGCCACAGGTGGTTTCTCAATGTAGTTGAGGTCACTCCTCCCCGCAAACACAGTTGCTTCTCTTAGTGTGAGCAGCCTTTCTTCTGTGGATCTGGTTCACGTTTTAGAAAGTTAGAGCCAATTCTTACGATGATGGAAAAGCCTCCCCATGCAGCTTCTCAGGCACTGCAAGCCTGACATTTCCAAATTCCATAGCATGGAATCACTCCTCTAAAAAAAAAACACCCCACAATGGCAATTTCATCTCTGTCAGGATCTACATCTTTAAGTTTAATACAGCTGCTTTTGAACTTGTGAATATGCTGCTTGCATGGGAATTGGCTTCTTTTAAAAGAGAGAGAGAAGTCAAGTGTTACACACTTCCTATGCAGGAGATTATTTTGAATGTCCTGATGGGCACATAATTTCCGTCTTGGTTGAAAAGACCTCATCTTGGACTGTTACTTCAAGGGAAATATTTGGGCTCTCCTCCGGGGGATGGGGGGAGAGACTATTCTCAACATAAGGCGGCAGCAGAAGTTAAAACTATAAGAATAAGTCTGCTTGTCTGCATCAAGCGTTGATGTCTTCTGAGATATGCAAAATTTAAACCTCCAGTTTCTGCATCTCTTGTAAAAGCGATCTAAGTGTGCTACTTGAAACACTTTTCTCGCTAATCTGATGATAGACTTGTGGGTTTCTGGAAAGTGGGCTGGGATGTGCAAATGTTCAGATAAATCTCATGCCAATTTCTTTTTAACATTTGATTTTATTGGTTTTTTAAATGAATATTTTATATTTTATGCAAACTCTACAGATTTTTTCAGTTAAGTGGTATATAAATCATGTAACAAAAAAAAAGTATATTCTTTCTGATTCATCTAGAGGAAAATGAATTACATCACAGAGAGCCTGTTGTTTGACACCACCCAGTCCCCCTGTCCCATTTGCTCTTGCTCTCTGCCGTATTGCAGGATATCTCTGCTGAGAATGCAGACAGGTTGCATATGCTTTGTCAGACGATGGTGGACGAGGGACCCCTGGTGTTCATGCCCCTGCCAGAAGAAAAACAGAACAGACCCTTCCAGGAGGAGGTCCCCGTCTACGTGCTGAAATGGATGACGTTCAAGGAGCTCATGTTGGTGCTACAGGCCAGCCTGCAAGTAATTGTGGACCGGTGGGTGTTCCATACAGTCTGCTCTGCATCCTCCCTATTCCTGTTAGCCCTCCCAGACCAGTAAGGATTGTCTGGGAGAAGTGGAAAACACCAGACAGTGGCATGATATAGCCTGGCTTGGATGCTTGTTCTGTGCCTGCCGCCTGCCCCAATCAAGAGGTGGTTTTCCACAGAGAAACCCACATTTTGACTATTGTAGTAGTTCATATTTTTGGTTGTTCTGCCTCTGAAGACGGTTCAGAAACTTCAGCTAGTGCAGAATTCAGTGGTCATGTTGCTCACTGGAGCAGGACGGTTTGAGCATATTACACCAATCCTGGTCCAACTGCACTGGCTACCAATTAGTTTCCAGGCCCAATGCAAAGTGCTGGTTTTGACCTATAATGGCTCAGGACCGCAATACTTCCAGGATTGCCTCTTTCCACATGAACCTGCCCGGTCCCTGAGATCATCTTCTGAGGCTCTTTTTCGTGTGCCCCCTCCTTGAGAAGTCTGAAGGGTGGCAACACGAGAATGGGCGCTCTCTGCATTGGCTCCTCTTCCATAGAATGCTCTCCCCAGGGAAGTTCGCCTGGCGCCTTCATTATACACCTTTAGGTGCCAGGCAAAAATGTTCCTTTTTAACCAGGCCTTTGGTTGATTTTATAGTGGTACCTCGGGTTAAGAACTTAATTTGTTCTGGAGGTCCGTTCTTAACCTGAAACTGTTCTTAACCTGAAGCACCACTTTAGCTAATGGGGCCTCCTGCTGCTGCCACGCCGCCAGAGCACGATTTCTGTTCTCATCCTGAAGCAAAGTTCTTAATCCGAGGTACTATTTCTGGGTTAGCGGAGTCTGTAACCTGAAGTGTATGTAACCCGAGGTACAACTGTATTGACATCCAACACCCTTTAGAATGTGGGTTTTTTGGGGGTGGGTATTGGGTTACTGGTTTTGGTTTGATTTTATATGTTGTTGTCTTGTTGCGAACCACCCTGAGACCTCCAGGTATAGGGCGTGTATAAATTGAATAAATAATAATAATAATAATAATAATAATAATAATAATAATAATAAATTTAATCTTCCAAGATCCAGGTGTGTTTCTTTAAAGAATGTGACATCTTTGCTTAAAAAGATGCTGGAGAAGGAAGGAAAGGGCAGGAATTGAGGTGGGGTAGATCGGGGTCCTGTAGCAATGTGCAAAGAACAGGCCTCGGTACAAGGACCCCAAACCCCAACCCACTGACCACAGAAAGCCATGGGCAGAGAGGTTTACAGAAAGGCCTCCCTCACTCTCCCGGCCCTTCTCTCCTCCCTCCCTCAGCTGTTTAAATAATCACTCTTGCTCTTTCCATTTCTTTTGTCTTTGACTCTCCCAGGTGGGCAGATGGCAAAGGGCCCCTTGCAGCCGCATTCTCCGCAAGTGAGGTGAAGAACCTAATCAGAGCCTTGTTCCAGAACACAGAGCGTAGGGCAGCTGCCCTGGCAAAGATCAAGTAGCTTCAGTGCCTCTGCTGTTCCTAAAATGTTGTCTTCCTGGACACGCTGCAGTTGGCAGAGCCGGTGTCTTCTCACCCCCCACCTGCACACACACACTCATCCACTTTGACCGTATCTCTTGAAAATGACTTCCTGGCTTTTGTGAGCAGGATCTTCCTGCAGACCAGGTTGGGTTTCCCAGAGGAGCATCGCCTGAGGCATTCAAGCCAGCACAGCGATTGTGTTGCCTGCCCAGGCCTCCGAAGATGATCACCTGACATGACCTGGCACCTGTGGTCCAGAGGGAATCCTGGCTTGTCGGATGTTAACTCCTGACGTGCACACCTGCAGGTCTTGCCAACCCTTTCCTTCTGCTTTGGGTGTTTGGTAAAACCAGTTTGGGTCCGGTGGAACTCATGGCAAACGTGCCCCTGCAGTACATCTGACTGGGAGATGTGGGGCTCTCAATGGCCCGGGGTAATCTGATTCCTTGTGGCAGAGCATCTATGCAGAGTTTTTTTTGTTTTTTGAGGGGGGTGGTACCTCCCCTTTGTGCATCTTACCTCATCTGTTTTGCAAATGGCTTCTGAAGCACACAAGACTTGGAAAAAAATCTCTGTGCCCTTTGAAGGGCCTTAAAGTGCCAAAACGTCGTAGTTTTACCAGCTGCTGCCTTTAGCGTACCCCATGCAGCACGCCTCAGAAGTTGTCTTTTTACCCTGAGTCCTCTTCTTTTGTTCTTCCCATATAGGGTCTACGGGTGGGGAGGGCCGGCCATGCTGCCAGTCGCACCCTCCTGCCTTGGAGGTACATCACATGCATCCTGTGGCATCAACAGCATGGAAGCCTATGTTTGTTCAGGGAACTATGCACAAACAGCAGAGTATGGATTAGTGCCACTGCTACAGATGTTCAGGGGGCAAGCCAGTGGTATGTTTGATATTGAGGGTGGGGCCAGAGGCTTAGTCCCGCTGTTCCTTGCTGATGTTCATGGAGAGCAACAGAAGAGGCCTACTTGTCTCTTTGACAACTGCAGTATTCTTTCCTTGACTTAATAACTACATAGTTAATCAAAACTGGCTGCTCATAAGCTTTCTCCTCTTTCGCTTATCAGGTTAGGCAGATGTTCTCTCCTACATACCCCACTTCCATCTACAGAATTTGAGATTGAGCATTTGTAAAATATGGAAACCTCAGTCTTCTGGTTATTTGGGGGAGAGGTGGGGCTTTTGGTTGAACACTCCCTTTTTCTTGTGTCCCCCTCCCCCAAGCATTTAAACCTCCATTCACAGAGGCTAAAATTCAGTCACTGTCTTGTCTAGCATTCATTAAGAAGATAAAATCCAAGACTGGGGAAAAAATGTTACTGGATTAATCATTACTTACAAATTATTTTGTATTCTCATACTTATTTCTTTTTGGGAGCCATTAAATAGGCATGTAAAAAACTAGCCTCAATGTCATTGTCTCCTTTACTGTGAAATATGGCCAGTGCCTCTGGCCTTGGTCATTTTGGTTGCCCCTTTCCAGTTTTTTGAGATGGGGTGATCTGAACTGTGCACAACATTCCCAGTTTGTTCACACAATAGATTCATATAATGGCATCATTAGATTTTTTGCAGTCCATTCCCTATTGATCTCTAGAACAGAATTAACTTTTTTTTTTGCAGATGCTGCACCCTGGGCTGACATTTTCCTTGAGCAATCAGTCACAGCCCCTAAGATTCCTTTCCAAGTCATTCATTGCCAGCTCCGAGGCCATCAGTGTATATGTGAAGTTGTGATTTTACTGTATTGCCTCATTGTGCATCACTTTACACTCACTTGGAACCACATTTGCTCATTCATCCAGTGGCTGTCTGATGGTGTGCTCGTTGCGCCCTCTTTCAGCTAAAAGCTAATGATATTAGCAGAGGTGAGGGCTTAGGAAGGTGGGGAGGGGGTTGGCAAGGCAGATATGTGCTTGTTCACCCAGCAGAATGTGCTATTGAGCAATTGCGTAAGATTTCATCCTTGGAACAGAATGTTCTACAGTGACAGGTTCTCAGCCCCATGTGCTCAGAAGTGGGAATGTTGAAGGGGCAGGAGAAACTTCCTAGTTTGAGTTCTGGATTCTGTGCTGTTGCAAGGTGGGACAATGGACTCTGGATATGGGGCATGCAGAGGCTCTTCTGTGCTCACCCACTGGCGACTAGTAGCTCTGGAAGGCAACGGGACAGCTTTTGAGCCATTGCTTAACCCTGAATTTCTAAAATGAAAGCTGCTGGGTTTGTGTCTGTCTAGTAGGCTAATCCTATGTCTTTCAAGTCATTGTCCCCAGTGATAGTGGCTCAACACATTTTGGGGAAAGGGCAAGTTGGCACCCCTCCTTTTCAGTGTACTGAAGCCAACTGGACTGGCAGTTGCCTCTTCAGTGATAGGAGAAAGTCCTCCACCTACTTAGCAGTCTAGCTTAGGGAGTATAGGGCAGGCTGACTTCTGAAGAAGAAGAAGAGTTTGGATTTGATATCCTGCTTTATCACTACCCTAAGGAGTCTAACAACCACTACCCTAAGCGGCTAACAATCTCCTTTCCCTTCCTCCCCCACAACAAACACTGCGAGGTGAGTGAGGCTGAGAGACTTCAGAGAAGTGTGACTAGCCCAAGGTCACCCAGCAGCTGCATGTGGAGGAGCGGGGACGCAAACCTGGTTCACCAGATTACAAGTCCACTGCTCTTAACCGCTACACCACACTGGCTCCCTGCCCTGCAGCACACCCAAGGCAGCTGCTTCCTTCTGCCTAATGGTTGGGCTGCTCCCAAAGCTGGGTGCAGGGTTGGCTGGGGCAAAGCATTCTGAAAGGCTGTTGGTTATTAAGAGTTCTGTGCTGGTTCTGCCTTGGGGAAAACCTGGCACCAGCACAGCTCTTGGAGGGCATCTTTTCATATTAAAATAAAGTAGAAATAGTAGCATCTTATTTTCATGGGGCGGGGAGGGCTAAGGGGCCTTCCCTTTTTGCTTCTCTCCCCTTTTTGCATTTTATTAAATTAATAATTAATCATACATAAATAATCATAAAAATGTGCACCTTACTACTGAGACCATTCCATTATAACTCCAGCCTCCCAAAATTTTGACACTTCTTGCACTGGTTTAACCATACAAATTTTACAAACACCCTCCATATCTCTTCAAAACCATTTCTCCTACATACTCCCAGTCTTACCTTAGTGCAGGGGTCGGCAAGCTTTATCTTGCCTGGGCCGGATCGGTCCCGTGGAGATCCCTCCATGGGCTGGATCGTGCATCTGCACGTCTGATTTCCAGCGTCTGCACGTGGGCAGATGCGATTTCCAGCACCTCAGAAGTGAGTCCCTGTGCCCCGCTGTGCTGGTTTAGCGCAGCACGCGAGTAGGCAGCTTGGTTTGGGGGTGGCTTGTGGGCCGGTCAAACGACCTCCATGGCCCGCTTCCAGCCCATGGGCCTTAGGTTGGTGACCCCTGCCTTAGTGGCACATTTAAATTTATCATTAATGGCTATATCCCAAACCTCTTTGCACCATTCTTCCATTTTATATTCTGCTTGCCCCTTCCACTTTCTAGCTATCGTAATTCGTGCGGCTGTCAATAAATTTGTGAGCAAGTCCTTCATAGCCTGTGAACCTTCCACCCCATCATAAATTGATAATAGTGCTACCTCTGGACTTTTGGTCAGCTTTAAGCCTGTGATTTCTGCTATCTCCTTAAACACCCTTTGCTGGGGGGAAAATGTGCATATTTACACCCCCACCACATGTGAACATAATTGTTTCGTGTCCTCACACCCCTTTTGTCCCAGAAGTGCAAGAACTTGTGTGAGTCTCTCCTGCACTGTTAAAGGGCTCTGTAAACATAAGAGCCCTGCAGCTGGAGCAGACCAAAGTCGTCCTAGTCCAACATCCTCTTTCCTGCAGCATCCCTGTGGATTATGTGGTCCTCGGGATGCTCCAAATGTGTGTTCTCACATGGTGAATATTTGGGTAGGTGGCAGGAACATCATTGCAGTCAAGTGTTCCACTGCAATGATGGTTGCATGAACTGGCTCCAGCTCTCCCAGCCTCGCCCCCCGCTCACCTCCATGACATGATGGATCCAGTCCAGGAACTCTGCCACCTCTGTATAAACACCAGGTTGTCCAGGCTCCTTGCACCCTGTCCTCTGGCTCCCAATCCCCACCAGACGCCAGACGTGCTCAAGCAGACAAACCAGAGGTCCTCCCCACTTGGCCTGCAAAAAGCAAGGAGATGGTCTCGTGATATGTGTAGATGTCCTGATCTCTCAATCCAGAGGGAAATAGGATTTATTTATTTTTTACCTGGCCTTCTCCTGTAACCTAGTCACTCTGCTTTTTACCAAGCTATTCTTAATTCAGGGAGGAGACATATTTCTACCAAGTTTGCTTGTTTAGAACATCTACAGCGTCCCTTCCCATGACAGTGTTCTCTGGGTGGCTTATGAACAATAAAACATTAAAATCCAGTAATAGCCAGGGGTAGAGGAACAGTAAACAAATTCTAGCATTAAAAAGGCAGAAGAAGAGAAGACATAAATGAAACCACCAGAAGAGAGAGCTGCTTTATCATGTTTAAACAGAAAGGGAAAGAATTTACCATCCATGGAGTAGAGACTGATTGATAAACATTTGCTTTTTTTTTCTTGGGAAATATCCATTTTGTATAGGAAAGCAACTTAGACAAGGTTCTATAGACCTCATTGACTAAAACTGAGGCACTGTCGGCTGTGTTCCATTTTCTCTCTCTGCAAATATGTGTATGCAATTTTAAAAATGAAGTCTCTGAGCCCTTTGTCTTGAACTGATGTAAGGAAAAGTAACGCAGGAAATACTGTATTCTGTTACTCAAATTAAAACCTGCTCCTTCCTGAACGCAAAGGCAATTTGAAAAGCTATCAGAACACTAGGCTCTGATTTTATTTTTTAATAAAATAACTTTTGTCAAATGATTATTTCACTAATATGTAATACAGTTTGAAAACAATCAAATATTTTAAACTACTTTTCCTTGGATTCTGGCCATTCTGTAGGGATTCCCTCACCCCTTAGGGACTCCTCTCACCAGTGATGGATTTAGGCAGCGCAAATGATTCTGCTGCAATGAGCGCTGAGCCTAGGGGGTGCTGCAACTTTGGCATTGTGAACTGAGCAGAACGGAAGGCAAGAGGTGGTGGGAGTGCCAAATTTTGGTCTCGCACAGTGTGCCGCTTAAATTTGCAAGACCGAAGTCCGCATTTGCTCTCACCCTGGTATTTCTGACCCTACGTGTCCCCTATCCCACCGCAACTGCAAAGCCACACACTTCCCAGCTATTACCTTGCAGGCCTCAGTGTTTCCATCCAAGTAATGGGCACAGAGCATTCTAGGGCTGAGCTCCCCTGCCATCCTACATGAGCTGTTGCACTTCTGGGTGCTGAGGAGGGTCACTGGCATTTCCATCAGTGTCTCAGCAGGGTCGCCTGTGGCTGCAAAACAAGGAGCAACATCCTGTTCCTTGCAACAATGGTGTCTCTATATACATAAACATTTTTTAAATAAAATCTCCCTAGGTTAGTTACTTACCATTGTCTAATCTTGTGGTGTCCTGAGCCGAAATCCAGCATGTGCTTCCGCTAGGGATGTCTTGATGGTACTGGGGTAAACACACAGCTCCAACAGTATCTTGGAAGGAAGGATATATCTTATAGCCATTGAACTGATGGTGTAGGACAGGGTCTCCAACCTGCGGCCCATGGGCCGGAAGAGGCCCACGGAGGCCTTTTAACTGGCCCACGAGCTGCCCCCAAACCAAGCTGCCTGCGTTCTGCGCTAAGCCGGCACAGTGCGGTGTGGGGACTCTCTTCCGCAGCTCCAGAAATCGCTTCTGCACATGCCCAGACGCCAGAAATCGCTTTTGCGCAGGCACAATTTTTGGTGTCTGGGCATGCGCAGAAGCGATTTCCGGCACTGCAGATGTGCGCAGATATGATTTCTGGCATCGCGTTGCACTGGTCCAGCCCACGGAGGTTCTCAGCGGGAGTGATCCGTCCCATGCCCAGTAAGCCTTGCTGACCCCTGGTGTAGGAGTTCCAATTTCCACCTTTAGCCTTTGTGCCAAGACCAAAGCTTATGACATGAGAGTTCTTCTCAAAGTGGGATGGAAGGTGGCTGTGAGTCTGCTTTGCAGTGGCCATTCCTTTCTTTAAAAGTCTGGTTTAAGCATGATACGATGTTGCCCATCAACAGTTAGCAAAACCTGGACAACAGACTGAGGAAGCACACCATGGTACAATTAATTGCATTTCCATTTGAATTATAGCAATTATTTATAAATGTGCACTTACATGTATAAAGCTCCCTTTGCAAATCTGGATCCCCTTTGTGGGTAAATGGCCCACCGTCATCGGCTGCTGGCACAGCTCACCTGAGAAACGCAGAGGCTCCTTCAGCTTCAACATTGCAATGTCATAGTCGGGGCTCCTGCTGCTGTAGTTGGGGTGGGGAACTGCCTTCTCCACTGCCACTTCCACCTGCTCTTTGCCACTGGTGTGGTCTTCAAGCCCAGCAAAGGCCACCCAGCCGGAAAGCCTGGAACGAAACAAAAATCCTGAGCATGCTTGGCCTTCCAGTTCTGCCTCACTGGGCTTTTTCGCTTCCAGCTCCAGAGGATGAATGTGCCAGATATTCAGAAAGGGTTTCAAGACCGAATAACGACGATAATAATAATAATAATAATAATAATAATAATAATTTATTATTATATACCCCACCTATCTGGCTGGGTTAAAAATGTGATAAAACATCAAACATTAAAAACTTCCCTAAACAGGGCTGCCTTCAGCTGTCTTCTAAAAGTCAGTTGTTTATTTCCTTGACATCTGATGGGAGGGCATTCCAAAGGGTGGGTGCCACTACTGAGAAGGCCCTCTGCCTGGTTCCATGTAACCTTGTAGTGAGGGAACAGCCAGAAGGCCCTCGGAGCTGGACCTCAGTGTCTGGGTTGAACGATGGGGATGGAGATGCTCCTTCAGATATATTGGGCCGAGGCCATTTAGGGCTTTAAAGGTGCTCGGAAACGTACTGGGAGCCAATGTAGGTCTTTCGGGACCAGTGTTATATGGTCTCAGTCTAGCTGCCATATTCTGGATTAGTTGTAGTTTCTAGGTCACCTTCAAAGGTAGCTCCACGTAGAGCGCATTGCAGTAGTCCTGTCTCATTTTGCATGGAAAAACCCAACATGTTTGGAAACAGTGGGGAGAGGAGAGAAAACTTGTTTGCATACCCTGCCTCCTATTTACTAAGACCTTGCTTGAAGAGTTCATTACAATTCTACGATTCTATGAAAAACCTTTGGCCAGATCTGCACCTTCTTTCCTGCTGTTGGAGTCAGATTCTCCCATGCTTACTTGTGCATGCAGTGAGCAGCTGTGACAATCCACTCCTCCGACACCATAGATCCTGCGCAGAAATAGTTGGCCTCGTGATAAAGGGTGATCTGCCATGGCCAGTGCCCCGGAGATGGCTCCTTTCTCTCCGTTGCCTGTGGAGCCTTGGAGCCACACTCTGTGGGGAAGATGAAAGGTGGGGGGCTTACTCCTCAGATTTGCTCTCAAGGAATCTGAGAGAAAAACAACCTTTGCTTGAAAGAGTGTTGAGGTATTCCTAGGGTGAAGGGCCACAGCCCAGCATCCTTTAAGAATGTGAAGGTTCCTGAGGCACACCTCAGTTTTGTGCAGATTGGACCTCAGTCACAGCAAAGGATGGCAATAAAGCATGTGTATTTGATGCAGATAAATGCTCCCAACGTGCAAATGGCTGCACACATTTTATTTTTCACCCAGAGTCTGCATTGCCTTAGATCAGGCATAAGCAACCTTCAGCCCTCCAGATGTTTTGGACTACAATTCCCATCATCCCTGACCACGGGTGCTCTTAGCTAGGGATCATGGGAGTTGTAGGCCAAAACATCTGGAGGGCCAAAGGTTGCTTATGCCTGTCTTAGATGTTTGTCTGTTTATCAAAGATGGCTGGATGTTAACAACATCGCATTTGGCTGTTGGTGGGAAGGTGCTTTTTTCAGGGCAAATCAGGGGACCAATGTATGATGGTTTCTGAAGTACCATAAGGTGAGTTTGGGTTACTTACCAGAACATTTGAGGGCCACAATGCGACCCGAAGGGCATCTACTCCTGAATAAAACAAATTGGTGGTTAAATGCTGTGAAGCCCAAACAGACCCGTTATGCACAGCCACGACAATTTCTGGATATAGCAGTCTGAGGAAATTGGTAAGCTGATAGAATCCTCTTGACTGATCAAATTTCTGTGGCATTTTCCAGACAAATATATCCTAAGGCAGATTACAAAGAGCCAATAATAGGCTGGCATCTGCCTGCCTCAGGAGCATAGGGGCCAAGGTCCCTTTGGCCCCCCCCATAAAATATTTGCGGGGGGCCTCCCTCCCCAAGTTGATGGACAGTGCCATTCAAATGGTGTGTGCGCACTGTGTTTTGTGATTGATTATGCGGGGAGGGGCTTATCTGCCACCCCAATATTTTATTCATCCTGCTCAGGAGATATTACTGCAGCAAAAATCTTTAACAAGTGGTTGCAGGGGTGTGTGAATTAAAATGTGCAGTACCCAGGGGAGGGGAGTCACGGGATTCGGAGAATCCCTATTTTTGGATTTGAAATTGTTTTGGCATACAGTTGTGTGCGTTTGTTACTATTGTTTCTGTTATGATGATTCTTACTTTTGTATGGTTGGAAAAATCACACACACACACACACACACACACACACACATATAGAAAGCAATTGGATGCCACTCAAAAAGCCTGAAATCATGTTTTGACATTAAACAAAACAAAAGAAAAGAAAATGGGAGTTCAGCTTAAGCAGGGGACCCACCTCATTTGCCACTTATCCTTGATGTTTCGTTTCCAGTTGGGCAAAATCTGAGCAAACTCTTGGGTGGTGTTCAGCTTCACATCTGTTAGGTTTACCCCTTTGTGGTGGGTGAGCCTGCAGGAGTGACAGACAGGAGTCATCACTTTGGAAAAAATCACACCCCTGTGTGTGTGTTCATGAATCTATGGCTCTTCCTACATTGGTATGGACTACTCCAGGGATGCCCTCCAGATGTGGTTGGACTGCAGCTCCCATCAGCCCCAGCCAGCCTGGCCAATGGCAAGGGATGATGGGACTTGTAGTCCAGAACACATCTGGAAGGCCAAACATTGGCTGCCTATTGGCTGCTCATTTTAACTGGAGTTAGCTGGGATGCCTACACCACACTTCAACATGAATTTTCATGTGAGTTTGCAAATAAAATGATAAAGACCACATCAATTTTAAAAAATGTTCAAAATAATCAAAGTTAGTATTTTTTAAACTACATATTAATAATCAAATCTGAAAGTTGCATATCTATCTATCTATCTATCTATCTATCTATCATCTATCTATCTATATCTGCCTTTTTAAAAGCCTGGCAGATGTTGATCTGTGACTGGCTGAAGCCTGGATAGCAGCAAGATCTGATAAGAGAAAGTGATTTGTATCAGATTCTAGTTTGCAATGTGTTACTCAGTTCAACATTTTGTCATTTAAAGACAGGTTGTAAACCACTTGCAGATTCCTTTGGAAATGTGAAATGGTATGGGAATGATTTAAATACATTTTAATGAATGAATGAATGAATGAACAAATGAATGATAAGTGGTATGGGAGAGTGTCTCTGAGTGGAAAGTTTGGGAGGCAGACGTGGTACCGAAAATAAAAATGTCACCCAGAAAATTAGCAAAGTGTGTGTGTGTTTGTGTGCATGTAAGAGTGTGCTACAACCAGACCTGGAAGACTACAATTTCAGTGATGCGAAATAATGAAACCTCTGGAGGGGTTCTGTAGATATCCAGAACAGGTTCCATATCTTGTGAGCTGATGGACTGATTTATGCAACTGCCTTTCATAGACAAGACAACAAAGCATGGGGGATTGGGAAGATTTGACACCCCATCTTGCTGCACTTACCAGGCATGACCCAACCACCTGCAGATTTGCATCCCCAGGGAGACATCCCAGTTTTCATGGCATACCAGAAACCAGTTGGATTGACCCTCAACCTGCACTTCCAATAAGAAGTTGCTTCTGTTTATTCTGAAAAATACTAAAAAGGGGTGGATTAAAAACCTCATCCTGCTGGGCTTGATCTGCTCCTGCTGGGAAGGAATTCTGTATTATCCATCAATTTGGGGCAATCAGGCCTTCACAAGGCATTTTTTTTAAGGGGAGGGGGAGATAGTGGCAGCATAGTGGTGTAAGGAGTATGCAGCTGTGTCTACTTCTTTCAGCTTTTACCTGATTGTTTGCAATAGCTAGATTTCTTCTGTGAGCCTCACTCATGTAGACACCTTTGCACAGATGAGTTGTGCTCCTCAAAAGATCCGCTATCCATACAGTCAGCACCCCAAAAACACATTCCACCTTTCTTCTAAGCACATATGGATGAACTTGTCAGTTTTGAGTTCTCTCACTTTCTCATTTTTCCAGTCTTCGGTTTAGAGTTTGCCATTTTTTTTAAAAAAAGAGTTCATTTAAAAAATGTTGTGTTAGTCACTGTACTATATATCAGCTGTATCCTGCATTCTCTCTCTGCTAGCGCTAGGGCTTTTGCAGTAGCAGACAGGTGAGTTTTAATGTTGTGCAACAGAGGAATACAACGCAGCAATTGCAGTTAGAGTTACCAGATCAGAAACATCCCAGACCCTGAGATTTCAGGGCCCAAACTGAGACCATAGTGGTGTCACAGAGGCAGACCCTGATGATTCTTCCTCTGCACACCCTCCATCCACTGAGCCCTGGAGATAGAGATTCATTGGGACAGGGATGAGCAGCTCACGGTGGAGAGTCTATGCAATTTTGCAGCTGGTTCCTGGTAACTGAAGCTTGGGAACAGCATGCATAATTGTAGTATCAATCAATCAATCAATCAATCAGTCAATCAATCAATCAATCAGTCAAAAGTACTCTTGCCCACCTGGAAATTCAAGCCCTCCCCCTGCCACCCTGGAGGTCCGGCAACCCTAGCTGCAGTAACGGAAACTTGTGCAACCCATTGCGCAACAAAGTCGCCAACAACGTGGTTATGCGTTCTTTTGCGCACCAACACCCATTTCACAGGCAAAACGAGTACACCTCTTTAGTGCCTTTAACTTAGTGCTACATTGGAGATTCCCAACCTTTTTTGCTCCCGGCGTCTCCAGCGAGGGTGTCTTGGTCCTTCTCCCCTTCTCCCATCGTTTCCCTGCACCTTGTTAGAGCAGCCTCTGGGTCCTGGAGGGGGAACGACCCCTGAAGGGGAAGGGGCTTCTGCAGTTGTTTCACTAAGAGGACAATGGTAGAAGGAGGGTGGAACAGCAGCCTAGTTACTGCGCCCCACATAGCAACCACCAGAGCTGGGCTACCGAAGAAGCAACTTCTCTCCATATGCCCACTTAAGCCTGGCTATGCACATCCTCCTTAGCTGGCCTGTACTTACCCAGAAACCAAACCCCAATGGTTGTTCCAATCAGCAAGCCAAAGGATCCCAGGAGCAAGAAGCACCTCTGGGCTGTGCAGGAGCTTGCAAGAAATGTTTTTGAAGGCACTTGATACAAAAGGAGAGAGAAATTAGATTATGGGGTGGGAAACTGAAATATCAGAGAAGGGCTGTAGCTCAGTGGGAGAGTACCTGCTTCACACACAGAAGGTCCCCAATAGCATTACCAGGTAGGCCTGAGGATGTCCACTCCCTGAAACCCCAGAGAGTTGATGCTGGTACTGAGCCAGACAGACCAAGTATCTGACTTGGTATAAGGAAGCTTCCTCCTTGTTCCTATAATCCTGTTAGTGCTCTGGGTTTCATCTTGAGAAAATCTTGATGGCAGGAGGTGGAAAGCAGGAGGAGGAGGAGGAGGAAGATGACCACCTCAGAAGACAGGATCCACAGGGGCAGCAGATCCCAATACACTGGTACCTTGGTTTATGAACTTAATCCGTTGGGGAAGTCCATTCTTAAACCAAAACTGTTCTTAACACTTTCCCCAATGAGGCCTCCCCTAGGATCCCCATTCTTCCATGGGGGTTTTCTTGGGGGGGGGGCGCTCACCCCCAAAGCTATAGCTGCCAGAACCGTGCCGTCCTTTAAAGTGGATGACATGGAGCACGCCGCCATTACCACCGCAGCGAACCGGAAGTCCATTCTTAAACCAAAACCGTTCTTAAACTGAGGCGTGCTTTCCCCAATGAGGCCTCCCACCGCTGGTACCCTTCCACCATTCGGATTCTGTTCTTAGACCAAGGTAAAGTTCTCAAACCAGGACACTATTTCTGGTTTTGACGAGTTTGTAAACCAAATCGTTCTTAAACTGGACTGTTCTTAAACCAAGGTACTACTGTATAAACTTGTATTCGGGGCCAGCCCATTCATGAGACAAGGTGAGGTGACCAGGATTCATCAAGGCAGCAGATCCCAATGTCAGTCTTCCTTCCCCACTTGTTCCTGATGTAAATCGTCCCTCACCTCTTCTCCCCTGGTGGGGAGGGGATGCAATTTCGGGGTGTCTTGGGCTGGCCCTGTATACTGCCCAACCAGCTTTTATAACTCTCAGGTCCAATCCCATCAAATAGCTCACCATTCTCTTCCGACGCCCATGATCTCTCTTCCCCCTTTGCCTCTGAGGAGGGACCAGGATTGTGGCTTTGAACCTGAGGGTCAAACCACACATGACATTTATTTGCAGAGGGAGACGGCTGAAGGTCAACCCCATTTGGGTGGGTGGGCGGAGACAGCAATTTTGTGACAACTTAAAGACTAGAATGGTCTTACGGCATAAGCTTTCAAAGTCTAAAGTCCATTTCAAAAGCGTTATATACTGTTAAATACCTTTCTGCCAGCCTCCAAGTTTATGAAAGCGAGAGTTGTATGTAAGTCACCCATCAGTCATTCTGGATCACATCCTGACAAAACCAACCACTGAACGTTTATCAGTATTTATCTTATGGAGACAGTTCCCTTCAAGAGCACAAGGACTGTCAGGACTTACTAAATGAAACAAAACACTCCCTGCAGGTCTCCAATGTGATTTATCATACTGAGTGTGAGAGCCCAGGATGCCACAGTCAGTTTGTGTGTAAGAACATCAACTGATCTACGCACATATTTTAGGAATCATACTGTAAATCCACCGCAAACTTGACAAAAATATATCTATCAGAACAACCACTTGCAAAGCACTTGGGTCTGGAAAATCACAGCCCCTCTGATTTATCAGGTACTGCAAGAGAGAAACTACCTTGTTCCAGGAACACTGGAAACAAGATAAAATGTCTGGATTTACAGACTTTTAACCTTTAGACCATATGTCCCCACTTTGGGGCATAGTAATACTGACAGCACTTAGCTTCAGAAAATGCAATACGGTAATATTTTTGCTTTGTTAGTCATTGTTAATACGCACACAACCCACACCCATAGCTAGAAACAGAGAGAAAAAAATGGGGCTGTATGGGAATGAAAGTTCAAAAAGTACAGCAATTGTAGATAAGCAAAGCAACCAATTCACAGCAACAAAAACTGGTGATTACCCCATCATTCAGGTTTTGCTGTGTAAATTACCCCCAGCAGTGGGAACAGGAAACCATAGTCTCAATTCAAGGCTAAGCTTATAGATTCAGACTTCTTGATTGGTTCTAACCAGACAGTTTCATCCTGGAGTCTCCCTCTAAAATCCCTCTGTTTGAGAAAGGAAACTCTTAAGTCAGAAGTGTCTGGAGAGATTGAAATGATCCCACTTCTGGTTTCTGAATGCTGCTATTTCTGATGTCAGAAATTTTGTTTCCATTTGTTCTTTTGCATAGAGACTAGCCTGTTAGTACACTGCAGAAGGGGCATTACCTGAAGGGGGTGTGTGGCTTGGACCACAATGGAATCTGAATCAAATTTGGTCAAAAAAATCTAATTATATTTCATGACAAATCTAGTGACACACGCCAAGAATGTTTGAAGAAACCACCCCTGCAAAAGACAAAAAATAGGCAGAGTGATTTACCAATGTTTCTGACTTTGAATTGGCAGGGAATGTTGGAGGATGAGTGATAGATACATCATCAGTCATTTTATTTCCAGATTGCCCCTTGCTCTCTTATCTCCACAATTGTAGGATGCCAGAGTCACGCTTGAGATGCTTGAGATATTCTGCAGCTCATGTAGCCAGCGGAGAAGAATTTAACAGGGGTATCTTACCATTGCAGGGAATGCCAGTAGGTCAAAATGATGTCTGGAGCTTCAGTTCATTGCTTCAAGGTGTAGGAGATGAAGGCTGAATAGGGCCAAGCTGATGACCCATCATTAAATAGGCCACTGGCTCAGATTCCTCACCTTGTGCATGCACAATCCATGCACCTCCTACCCCCACAGTGAATAGAGCCATTGTTTTAGCCAGGAGGTCAGGTGGCTGGTTGGTTGATTTCCCCTTTATCTCCAACTAGCTGATGGGACACCTGGAAAGAGAGACAAGCATGTGGTTGCTTAGCAACCCCGCCTCTCTCTCCCAAACCGGGAAAGATGCCCCAACCCGCATGGTGCAGGACAACCTTCCCGGGTGCTTGCTCAGAGCAAGAAGGCTGAGCGATGTTTGCAGTTGATTAAACGGTGTCGAAAGCAGGAGCACAGGACAAGGGCTTTCTCTGGCTGGAGCTTTCTCTGGCTGGAGTCAAAATGTTATTGGGGGAAGTGAGAAATCACTGTTATTATTGAAGGAAATTGACTCCTATTCTCATCTCTCTAAAGGTCACAAGCCATGTCGTCATCACCAAAGTTCCACAGCTGTCCCTCTAACACATGGCTCCTTTGTGTGACGTATAGTCACCCACATTTGATGGAGAGAAAAAGAGGTACCAGTTTTTAAGTGAACGACTACGACAGTGATCAAGATCATGGTGTCTGGTGGGGAACCCCACCGAAGGTTGTTTATTCTATTTGAAAGGGGTTTTGTATCTTTAGTACATGGGTGGGAAGTGTGTGGCCCTCCAGTTATTGTTGGTCTCATTTCTGACCATTCATTCTGCTGGCTGGGATTGGTGGGAACCAGAAGCGCCAGCTTTTAAAGGAACCCGGTCAGGGGAAAATAATTGAAATCCCCCAGAGCTTTCAAAGACTGTAAGAAAGGAATGTGGAACATCTGTGGCCCTCTAGATATTCAGGGGTGAGCAAACTTTTTCAGCAGGGAGCCAGTCCACTGTCCCTCAGACCTTGTGCGGGGCTGGACTATATATATATTTTTTTTGGGGGGGGGGATATGAACGAATTTCTATGCCCCACAAATAACCCAGAGATGCATTTTAAATAAAAGCACACATTCTACTCATGTAAAAACATGCTGATTCCCGGACCGAATGTGGGCCGGATTTAGAAGGTGATTGGGCCCAATCCGGCCCCCGGGCTTAGTTTGCCTACCCATGATATAGATGGACTACGACTCCCATCATCCCTGACCATTGCCCATGCTGGCTGCTGGGAGTTGGGAGTCCAACAATATACGCTGTACCACCTAGAAAACATGCCTTCTGCCTGTAAAATTTATGTTAAAAATTGCATATTTCAAAACTCTGTGCCTGCTAGCAAAGTTGTTTCATCCTGTACCAATGCAATACAATTTCTGCCCTTCAAAGAGCTAGCCTTGAATGAAATCAATGGGTTTTCTTGAGTATGCTTAATTTCTGAGTGGGCATTCTTCTTTGTCAGATTTCTTTTTAAAAAACTCCCTAATTGCAAGAGTGCTCAAAACGGGCAATATCAAGAACAATTCAAAATAAAATGTTAAATTAATATATATAATATATATTTCCACAGATAATGAAGCATTTCTATTTCAGCAGGATTCAGCTCCATGTCATGTTACTGCTGTGTGCAAAAGGTGGTTTCATAATAATCATATTCCATTGCTGGAATGGCCTGGGAATAACCCAGGCCTTAACTCAATCGAAAATCTATGGAGTTGACTAAATACACTTGCTAGTCAGAAGCAAGCCAGCAATAAAACCCAATTAATAGAGGCAATAATTCAATCTTGGTTTCACATTATTACAGCTGCAGAACTAAAAAACTTGGTTCACTCCATGGGAAGGTGTTGTAAGGCTGTAATTAAAGTTAAAGGTTACCCAACTAAGTATAAACAAACTTAGTTGGTCTCTAAGGTGCTACTAGACATTTTTTTTAAAAAAATTGTATTTATTCCAACTAAGTATTAACTGACATGGTGAGAATTTCTATATATCTCATTTTTCCTATGTGTTACACGTTTCTTCTTTATGACTGCTGTTGTAATAAATAATCCTTCATAAAAGTTATTGCATTACATTCTTCATTAAATTATCTTTCCATTGATATATAATTCTATGGTATTACTCCAAAAAAAGAGAGTGGTGTTATGAGCCATCAAACCTCGGAAATACACTAGTGTATATTAAGGCAAGCTCATTGTCATTCAGATAACTTGTTTAACAATGCCTTACCCCAGATTTGTCCTGGCTGCAGAGAGAGGCAATGCAGAATACCTGTTCAACAGCTGCCATCTCAGCCAGCCTCATTGTTCTCTGCCTGCTGGCTGTGACATTTCAAAGCCAACTTTCCTCAACCTTCATTACTTTCTCACCAGGACAAAGACAGCCCTCCTTTGTGGTTGCCACTCAGTGCTCTCATTCTCTCAAACGGCTGCCAATAACAAAGCCTTTCTTTTTGTACCCTGGCTTCTGATGGATTAAAAAAGAGAACTTCAAACACACAGAGAGACAGGGACACATCTTCTGGTGGGTGGGTCAGGGACGTAGGAAGGTGTGTGTGTGTGAGGGGGGGAGTGCGGGCCGCCCTGGGTGTCATCCTGAAGGGGGGTGACATTTGGCGCGGCCCCCACCTCCTGTGACTCCCCCAAGCCCAGCAAGGGACAAAGCAGCTGCTGCGGATCTCCCCCTTTCCCTGGCTTGCTGTAGGCTTGGGAGTTGCCGGGGGGGGGGCGCCAAATGTCAACCCCCTTCAGCCTGAAGAGGGTAGACCTTCAGTCCCCCCGTGCCGAGACTGCCCCCCGGGGAGGATTGCGCAGCCGCGTCCATCGGCCCTGTGGGTGGATCGGCCCGCCCCTTGGGTGGATCTTCCCCACCATAGCTGTCAATATTTTC